CAGAGCCAAATCAATGGAGAGGCCAAAATGCAAAATTACATTGTGGTGCAGGCCAAAATTAATTTTATCATTTCTGACAAAAAAAAAAAGTAAATTTAGCAAATCTCTTGTACCGTGGGAGCCCCTCCCCCAAAAAATCCGTCTCTCATAACATCACTTATTTAAAGAAAAAAAGACAAAAAATACTCTTAAAATATACAAAATGACAATTAAATACCATAAAATGTGATAATTATTATTTAGTCTCTGAGGATTTATTTGACATTTTTATTTTTGATGAAATGATATGTTTGCCCTCGATGACTATTATTTGTTAAAAAATGATTACTCTGATTGGATTATTAACTAAAATGAAATATATAGAAAATCACTATTTCCTTCGTGTAAATTTGTTTCTCAATTAAATGCAACTAAAGTATTCATTTTCATAAAGGAAATAATCATTTTCAAACCTATTTATAAATAACAAGGAAGTAGTTACTTTCTATAATAATCATTGATATCTAATACTTGCACTTGACTAATAAACAAATTTGCAAAAAGAAAGTAATACTTATTCTTTTGGGTAAAAGTAATACTTATTTTTTATTTTAGTCAATAGCTTAATCAAAGTAATTATTTTCTAAAATTAAAAATAGTCACTACGGATAAATAAGTCATTTAATTAAAAATTAAAATGCTAGGCAAGTCTCTAATGACTATATTATTATTATTATTATTATTATTATTATTATTATTAGAGTACTTAATTATTAGTTACATATTTTGGGAATTTTTTTTTATATTTGTCCCTTTCTTAAATACAAACCCATTTACTTTTATGTACAGAGACACGTCAACCTCGAGTCCCCGACGTCAGTGATTACAAAAGGATAAAAAAGAATCAGTCAAAGTCCACGATACGATTTAGTAGCTTAATTAAATAAAACATGATGTTGACTTGCAGAATATATATAAATTAAATCAACCAATGAGATTTATGGAAATACACATTTTTATAGTATGTAAGTATATATTTTGAGATCAATAGCGTGTTAAACATACAGAAAGTGGCATTTTATTAGTATATTTCTCAAAAGCAGAGAATTGGTTAAGGTCCACGAAATGATTACGTAAAGAAGCATGTTTTACTGGGAAATTGTGAGCTGCAGTGGTTGTCCACAACTTAAATCTTTTACGTACGTTGAATGCAATATTTTGTGGTGGGACTATATATACACAAACACACAAAACCCTTTTTCATTCATTCAATTCAGATTCTTCTGCAGGCATTAGTGTTCATGTAGCAGGGCCTGATATGGAGCTTCTAGGAGATGTATTTCTATAGGTAACTATATCTGTCACTTGTACAATTTCCATCACACATATTATTGCTATGCTTTCTGGGACAACTAGTTTTTTGATCCGTGTGATACACAAGATATATTGAATCATATGATTCACACCTTAGAAATATCAGAATACTATTAAAAAAAAAGTGCATCATCAATGCGAGAAAGGAAAACAATTTAAATATAAAAAATTACAATCTTACTTATTACTGGTAATATAATTTGGGGTATATCATAGAGTATAAGTACAAATATATATTAAAGAGTAGCGATAGAACGTATGCATGCATGATATTATGCAAGTCATAAACATAAGAAATGAAAGTGTCAGGTGGTATGCATTGTGCAGAAATGTGGTAATAGGGAGGGTAAGAGTTAATATTTTCTTAGCTCAACAACATTTAAAGTGGAATCTTGTGTTTTGTGAATAGCATTGTATTGTTCTGGTCTGCTGTTCAGGAAAACTAAGCAATTACATAATAGTTGCATAGATTCTGACGTGGTTATTAATTAAGCAAATTTGTGTGTGCAAAGCTCAAATTAAAAGTTTATTTGGATAAATATGATGTGCCTTAAGGCCTGTTAGAATGTGACCTCTCTTATCACTGTCAGGAAATTGTTAGTGTAAGAGCTCATATGTTTCTTAAGTATGAAGTGTCTTATAAATTACATAACCACAATATATAGATAGGAGGCATACAAAGGAGCTTTATTGAAGCTTTTACATATTGATTTGACAGTTAATATAATGTATACAATTCACTTTCTTATTTGTTTGACGAGAACGTGTTGTTTTTATTAGAATGATATCACTTGTGTCGGATTTCTATGTTCTTTTATCGCAAAAAAAGTGGCAACAATAAAGAGATTGAAATAATGGTGTTGATATAAATGACTTTTTATGAATTTGTATAAGGGGGTACATGGAATAAGAAATATGTCTTTTTCTTAATAAATGAAAAAAAAATTATAGCTAAAATTTATTATTGATGAGAAAAAATAGGTCAAATTTTCATCAAGTAATTTGGTTTATAAAAAGGATTTTGAGTGCCCAAAAAATACAACTTATACCTTGGCCATGTGAGTTTCATTTGTATGACCTAACCTCACAAAGTCAATTGCGTTCAATCTCTCGCATGGTTCTTTATTATAATAAAATTTTAAAATGGAAAAAACATGAAAAGGGTAAGAAAGTTGCATGGTAGTGTAAAACTACAATACCCAACCAAAGTTAATTACATAATTAAAAATATTTAAGTGTGTGTTTGGATAAGAGTAATAATCAATTTTTTAGTTCAAAATCAAATTTTTGAGCCAAATTATCCAAACAGTCAAAAAAAGTCAAAAAAGAATTATTGTTTAAATGTTTGTTTTTTCATACGCTCTCTTAATCAGCCTTCTACGAAAAGTTAATGAAAAGTGTTGGGAAAAATTACAAAAAAAAGCCATAAAAAAATTATAAAAAAGACACAACATTAATAAAAGTAAAACCAAACTCTCTTTTCTTCTCTCTTTTTTCTTATTAAAATTTAAATTTTGAATCTTCAAAAAAATTACTAGCATAAGTTTTTATCAACTACCATCCTCCACTTAGCACTTACTATAAAACTAATTCAAATTCAAATAAAATATTAATTGATAAAAAAATTAATTTAATTTAATTTAAAATTTAGGATCATTTCAAAAATTGTTGCAAAACTCCAGAAAGAGAGAAAGATTTTGCGTCACTTATTACATTGCTGCATTTTTTATGTTGCTAAAATTTTAAGGTAGCGTTTAACATCTTTCTTAAATATAACTCATATCCCATTAAAGATCACTTTGTATATTATCATTTTCATTAGTTATTATAAAATTAATATTTAATATTTAAAAATTAAATCTTTCTCTTTTATTAAATTTATTTCAACTAAGATATATTGAGTTACTTTTTTATGTAAATTTAAATGTTAATATTAATATAATTTAAATTTTTTAATTAATTAGATATGTAATTTAAATAATATATTTTACTTCTTAAATAAAACATAACAACTTTAGTAATATTAGATATAAATTTATCAATAATTTAATTTTAAAAGGCAATGTCCTTTATAATAATTTATACAGATAAAATTAATTCTAAATAAATTATCCAAATATCTTCAATTCTATTAAAATTAATTTTAAAAAATGTTATCCAAACAAATTGCATTATAATATAATCAATTATAATTAAAATATATCATTTAATTAATTATTTTTATAATCTATTATACCTAATTGAAATTTAAACTGACACTTAAACTTTGATTCATGAAAGACAATAACCTTCTACTTAGTTTAAGAAAAATAGACATGACAAAATATATATATATATATATATATATATGATATTAAAAATATTGGATAAAAATAGTACAATAATTTTCAAAGTAGATCTACAATATTTTTTAGTGTGCGTGTACAGTAAAAATTTGTAGGTACTTCACTGTGGGGCCTCATTTGGTATGTAATGATTTTGGATGGAACAGAAATAGAAATGACATTAGGATTAGGATTTGGTTTGAGAATGGGAATAAGATTAAAAAGAATGTTCGATAGCCGTGAGAATGGTTACATTTTTATTTAATATTTGTAATTGTAATTATAATGATAAAATACCATTTTACCCTTATTCTTTTAAAAACCGCCGCTAATAGCTCATTCTATGTAGTGAAAGTAAATAAAATATTATCTCTTTCAATTTTCAAATTTTCAGTTGAAAAATATTTATGATGTGTTAGGATTACTTAAGATTTCGATTTGAATTTATACCAAATTTTTCATTTTGGTATTAAAAAAATTCATGAATTTAAATTTGATTCAAAACCAAATTTATTTTAAATTATAATTTTTTTATAATTTCAAATTTCTCTATATTTTAGTCATTTAAAATTTCAATTACTTCAAATATCATATTCTATTTTTTTTACACTTTCACTATTAATACATTTATGACTTGTATCTTTTTTCTTATTTTATTAATTAAAAAATAAAAATAAATTCATCATTTCTAATTTTTTTTATTTTTATTTCGAATCTTTATTTATCTCTCTTCTTTATTAAAATTTTTTAAATCACCTAAATAAAAATTTTAAATATATATATTTCAAATGTAAGAATTAAAATACAAGAGTTCAAATTTAAAATTTAAATTTAAATCTATTAATTCAATCACTATCTTAATTTATTGTCGAAATCTATCATATAAATGTTCAGAAGCATCGTTTGTCTGGTGAATCTGGTTTATCATAGCCACTTTGGGCCGGACCACAAATTTTTGTAAAAATCGCCAACCAATCAGCCCAGCACACACAGCAGGGTTTAGTCTCACTTTGGTGTTTTTTCCCAAAAAGAAAAAGGGAAAAGAAAAGAAGAGAATGTTGATTGACTTTAATAAAAGCTACTAATCTTGTCATTTTAATTTAAATTTTAATTAAATAATATTTTTAATTCTCTAATTTTATATAAGATTTTAATTTAATTATTTAATTTTATAAAGTATTTTTTTAACCATTTAACTTTAATATTGTTAGTTTTAAATAATTATTTTTTATCAATTATTATTATTTTTAAAAAAAATTAAACTTAATATATTAATATTTAAAAATATTTTATTAATATTTAAAAATTTAATAATTATTTTTTGTGTTAGAGTTAAAGAAATAAAAAGATATTTTATAAAGTTAAGAAATTTAAATCAGTCAAATAATGATTAAATACGTTACTGTAAAAATGTTGAAAAATAAATAATCCACTTGGGTACATGAGAATCAACAAATATCCGCAATGATTGTTGGAAATCAACAGCACATATAAGGTGTTCTCAAATTAGACGACAGGAATACGATCGACAAGAACACTATATTTTCTGGGGCAATGAAGACACGTCCCGTTTTGGAAGCCTTGCTCAACAATAATACGGTATGTATTCAACTTTAAAATTTAAAGAAATTCTTCGACAAAATTATATGCCGGGAAAAAAAGAGATAGATCAACAATTAACATGCACTAGGAAATATTCCATTTATTGATTGCATTATTTTATTATCAATAATTATAAATAACTAAAAAAAACTTAAATAGACCAAAATTAATTATTTTTATTTTTATTTTTTTTGTCTATGTATATAGATAAGAAAATAACCCTAGATCACTAGCGCTCTCTGTCTCAATTTTGCATGAGGTGTATTTTATCATTATTGTGGTGATGTCCTACACACCTTAAGATATTTAGGAGTGAGTAGATTTAGTTCATGTAAAAAGTTTTATATTGGATAAAATTAAGCCTAATAATATGTGTGTGTAGGGAATAATAATATATACATAAATTTGAGCTTTAAAATTTTGAATTAAGATATGACATATTTTTAATTTCTTACTTATTGTTCATTTATATACTCTTTTGTTTCTAGAGGCTGCCGCTCTCCATACCTCATATTTAGTCTTTTTGAATTAAGCGTGCTTCCACTGTTGATCGTGAATCTATTAAGCCTTTCGTTTTCAGGTGTGGCTCCCCATTCTTTACATATACAAAATCTAATTGTTTATAACTGTATAAATTCAATTTGATTTATTTTAATATATACTTGGATTGGATTTGGATTATACGAACATTGAGAGTCCAAATCATTAGGGCTCATCATGGGCTTGCATGGAAAGGATCAATCTACTAGTCCTTGGGTCCATTAAATTAAAGTATTTTCTTCTTAATTGTAAAGCTGAGTTTATTAACCTTCTTACCCTAACAGCTTAGCTTTACTTATTTTCAAGAACAAGAGACACCACGCCCACAAATTTTTTTTTTTGGTTGCCATAAAATTTATTACAGGAAACAAACAATGGAAACATCTTATATACACAGTTATTTAAAAATGAAAAGTTTTAAGAACCTGTTTGGTTTCTGTTTTTTTAAAATTATTTTATTTTTAAAAAAATTTAAAAAACTTATTTGGATAAATGTTTTAGATTTAATTATTTTAAATTTTTCTCATTTTTTGTTTCCATTTTTGAAAACAAAAAAAATGAAAATATCATACACACATGGAGTTATTTTCATTTTATTTTTTTATTTTCAAAGCATATTACATTTGATTATTGAAAAATATAGTTAGCTTAACTAATTTATATTATAAACTACAATCATTAACTACATACAAACATCACTATCAGCCTATTTTTTTAATTCTAAAAATATTTTTAAATTAATATAACCAATTAGATTTTCATTTTGTTTTGAAAAAGAATCCTGAAAACTGTATTACATATCACAATTTTTAAAAATAAAAAAAAAAGGAACAGAAACTATACATGGCTTATTAATTGGACAAAGTTAAATATAATACTTACTTTCAAACAGATTTCTTCATATGCATAAATTTATTAAAAAGTCCTTGCAAAAAGGACAAGAGAGGCAGTATATACATCAATTAATGTGGAATCTTATTGACATTCTGGCTGACTCGTGGAAGCCGTTGAAGATCGAGATCCATCCAGAAGGTTCCTCAATTACCTAGCTTCTTATTGGCCTATTGACTTACTATTCCACTATTTTTTTAACACCCTCCAATTTTTTTTTTTCTTTCTAACTTCTAGATTGACGTGGGGTTATATAGCTTGTATTTCAAGTATAATAGATAACGATCAGACACGTTTAATCCGCGTCATCAGTTCCTTATCCAGTATCCACTTTTGAATTAACAGTACGTACATTTGTTTGATTAATGCCAATGCCAGTGCCATGTATCAGCATCATGTTGCCATATTCCCTTATAATTAATTGCAAAAATATTACCAAATCAAATTAAATCGTTCATTACATCAGCTGCTAGGCATCTCTTTCATTGGATAATTAATTAGACTTCAAACAATTCATTAAATTTTACAGGTCCATATATCTGCAGTGAATGAGAAATATTATTGCCAAGTCCAAAACATTAATATATTTGCTCATATTGCTCGAAAAAAAAAAATATTATTTCATGTATCTCAGGTGAAATTTCTTTGCACGTTAAAGCTAACTAAATGTAGTAAATTTATAATCAAGAAATGCTGACAGTTTTTATCCGATGACAAATATTTAAAAGGCTTTATACGTACGGTCCTTTTAAATTGTAAATGTACTTTAAATAATTGATGCCTTCTTATTCATGTTCTATTATTCATGTAATCATTGCTGAATATTGCGGATCCTATCTTCACTCGTGCCCCTCTTCGATCATTTGGTACGCATCAAGAATTAATGAAGGGGAAAATAATAAGTAGGCAACTTGTAAAGATATTAATGACAACTAAAAACCTCAAAATATTAAAATGTCACAAAAGTATCATGGTCTTTAAAAGTCTATTAATTTTCCAAAAAATATTTATAATCATTGAAATAGCTAATACAAGATCATTCATGAAGTTAATAAGAGTAATTGATTTGTGAACTTAAAAAAGATTACTTGTGAATATATAAAAATTAATTGTGAATAGATATATTTTGGTAAAAAAATTGTAAATAGACAGATAATTTCATAAATGTATTCATCATTATTTGTGAATTTAAGAAAAACTTTTTGTAAATTTTTGAAATGTTATTTGTGAATTTATAGAACATAAATTGTAAATGGATATTCAAAAACATGAAAGAGTTCTTAAATTATTGATTTACAATTAAAACTATTTAGATTTATTCACAACTAAGACGTTTCATATATATTTACAAATAATATTTCTTAAATTTATAATTGATTGTCTTTAAATCGCAAGTGACATATAAATTTATGATACTATTTATTTATTTATAACTAAATTTTCATAAATTCATTATTGACATTTCTAATAAAATCTACAAGCAGTGACTATCTTTAGATTCATAAAATTATATATCAATTTATAATTAAATTTTTATTAATTAATTCACACATAACATTACTTAAATTCATAATTAACTTTATTATATTTGAATTCATGAGTCATTCCATTGATTATTTTAATAATTATTTTTTTAAATTACAAGTAAAGATCTTAGTCCTTCCATGATATTTCAATAACTTGTGGTCTTCAATTGGCATTAATTCCTTTACAATGTTGTGTAATATAATTGTCATTTTCCCTTAATGAAATACAATGATATAGTTATTAGTGTATTTATTCTTATCACTGTTTACTCTTAAAAGAAAAATATATCCGATTAATTAAGCAGAACATGAACTCAAACATAAGATACATATATATTATTACGTTGTCACATTATAAAAGCAAAAGTTGTCCTATCATATTTAATTTATCCGATACAATATGAAGACCTTCGATGTCCACATTCTTATGCATGAACTTTATTTTTATAATTAAATAGATAATGTAGGGGTGCCAGAGGAATTTAGGGTTTATTCAACATCTCTCACTGCTTCATCAATATAAATAGCTAGCTAATGATATCGAATAGAAACCTTCAAGGTTGATAGGTTTCAATTCCAAACCTGTTCATCAGTTCTCTCGCAATGTCCCTCTCTGAGTCACGTGATGGGGAATTCAAGGAAATGGTTACAATAAGTGTTGAAACCAATCCTTTCACAGAGACTAAAGGAGGAAGAGAGATTACTATGAGGAAGCTATTGCCTGCCGACTCATCCAACTCGATCCCACCATTCCCATACGATCCTCCTCTCTCAGAATCTGCTCCTTCTTCTCCCACAACTCAAACCCACCCACTTCATATCCAAATCCCAGAACCCAACCTGTTGCAGCCTGCTGAGGCTGCCGACCCGACCCACTTGGTGTTGGAGATAATTGAGAGTCAAGAACTTGGAAAGGCTATGCTAGGGTTGGCTGTGCCCATGGTGACAGGTCTAGTGACTGCTAGTCTCTATTTCCACAACAGCATCGCCATCAACTTGGCCGTGGTTAGCCTCTGTCTTGCTTTTGCTTCCATCTTCAATGGAATCGTTTTGAGAAAAACCCATCCCGAGTTATCACATCTCCTTCTCCTGTCAGGAATTGCCTTGATTATCCTGGCTTTCTATGCCTATATCAGCACCATTTTACCCATCTACCTCGTATGGATACCCATTTCCTGTTTCGGCCTCTCTATATTCACGTTTCCATCTGTTTTTGTAGACCTCATCATCAACAGCATCAGGAAGAACAAGTTGAATAAAGTGGCCTACTTAAAAGAGACAGATCCTGAGAAAAATAACAAGCCCTAGGTAGCTAGGATCGCATCTATATATAGGCCTATATGCTCCGCAATATCTGTATCCTCGTTTGTCTGATTGTTTGTTCTTCTTCACACGCACTCATGGAAGTAAAGACCCAAGTCAAGAGTAGTTATGTTGGGGGGTTAAATGGTCAAGGTCATTAGTTTGTTAACTAATTACCTAGTTTTGTTATTAATTCTTGACCGTAGATAAAGGGTTGATCAGTATGGTGTATTGAGGTATGGGGAAGTTTATGGTGTGTAATCCTTCATTTGTTTCTCCCCATAGTTTGGGAATGGTTGTTTTGCATTGAGCTTGTCACTTATAGGTAATGAATAATGTTCTTTCATTTTCTTCTTGTTATAATTTCTTTCTCTTCAACATGCTTGACAAGTACTCAAACAAGTGTCAATGTAAATGGAGCAATAATACTTTGTAGTTATAATATAGACGCAAAGCCGATCGACTCCAAGAACAGTGTGCTTGATTGGTTTCCATGATCTCATTAATATCCACTTGCTGAGCCTTAAGTATATAGAAGTATAAAAGTTCATACGTGAAATGAATAGAAGAAATATGGTAAAGCAGCTAGAAATTATTGCTATCTACCACTTCCTTCGATTTCTCGTTTGGCTACTGAACCTTCTACCCAAATTCAACCGTAATTAAGCTCACGCACATACATATACAAGTTTCATTCCTAATTTGACGTATAATTAATTAATCATTATAAAGGGATAACACTCCAACATGCACCTACCTGCCTCAATATAAAGTGATACATGACCTTTTATATGTAGTGTCATCAACAACCAGATAATTAATATTATTCGGACTACTTCCAATAGATACTCATGTACCGAATTCCATCTAAAAACATACTAATTATTCATTGTCAGAGTATAGTCATTCAAAGCAAGTTTAGGTGATAGGAATATGGTAGATGTGAGTAGTGTCCTAGGGTTTAAAATTTTCTTATATAATCGAAGTATGGAAACGTAACCAGTGCAATAGGAAATTAATTTTGCTTGTTTGGAAACTCCATGGCTCTGAAATTAATCCGCAGGCGCACATGAAAATGATGCATGTGTGTGTATATATATTTTGTGTGTGTGTGTGTGTTTGTTGCTTCATTTAATTTGATTCTCCTGTACAAATTCTTGGGCACGTGTATGTGTGAAAAAGAAGGGTGGAGGAGGAAGAGTTGCTCAATGGATCCATCCACATTATTTGAGTGCAGCTAACTACCAAATCCAAGCAAAGGAGATCAAGCTGAAAGAAGTCATGAGAGAAAGAGAGATTGAAAAATGTGTTGTGCATTATTGTTATGAAAAGCTTAATATACACACAAAAATGGACCATCTTAATAGTGACTGGTAAAAAACAAAGTATTCCTTAAATCTCAACAAAATAAATCTCAATAAATAATACATCATAACAATATCTACAAATCTCAATTAATATTTATATCATAACACAAATAGTACGATAATCGTTAGGGCAACTCCACATATATATACACAAAAGGATACTATCTGCTCACCTTTGTAAACTACAGATTATGTAACAGGTATATAACTAAAGACTACTAGTTTAGGTTTCGTGATACATATAACTATAAATTTCTAGCTATGTCTTCTTAAGATCGATCTGTGTCTTTTGAAGATCACTTTTAATTATTGGCCTTCTTCCTCCTGCTGTAGATGACGCCAACAAAAACTGGAGCAATTGGTAAAATAGAGAGGAAGAAACAGCCAACGGGTATCCATTTGAGGTAGACGGGTAAAATGATACCCGAATAGGCATAGAAAGCCAGGATCATCAAGACGATTCCTGACATGAGAACGAGAATCGATACCTTGGGACAGGCTTTTCTCGAGAGGATTCCATTCAACATGGAAGCAAAAGCAAAACAGAGGCTGATCGCAACCACGTTCATCTCCACAGTGCTGGTGAAATACTGATAAGCAGTGGATAAACCCATCAACATGGGCACAGCCAGCACAAGAACAGCCTTTCCGAGCTCTTGACTCTCAATTATATCGAACACCGGGTGGGTTTGATCGGCCTCAGCAGGTTGCGGGTTGGGTTCTGCGGTTTGGATTTGAACTTGGTGGTTTGGAGTTGTGGGAGAAGAAGGAGCAGATTCAGAGAGAGGAGGATCGTATGGGAATGGCGGGATCGAGTTGGATGAGTCAGTAGGCAATAGCTTCCTCACACTCTCTCCTTCGCCTCCTTCTTTAGTCTCTGTGAATGGATTGGTTGGAACAATAACCAGTTCCATGAATTCCCCACGGTGATGATCAGACTCAGAGGAAGACATAGACATGTTTGATCAGAGCTGAACAGATACTGAACTAGCCCTCACTGGTCACTATTTATAGATCAAGTGGGGAGGCATGTGTTATATAAATGGTGTTCACTTATCCATTGAATGAACGACGAACACCATATTCTAGAAAGTTAATTACGTCATCAAAATGAGGACATAACCGCACGTCGATCTTAAAATAAGATAGGACAGATTTTGCTTTAATTTCATGTAGCCATCTTATGTTCAGAGTTGAAGTCCTAATTCTGTACCTTTATATACGCAAAAAAAAAAAAAAGGTTTGAAGCATGCATGAAAATAATGCAAGAAAATCATAGAAACTCTAGATTCAAAATGATCAAGATCTACACACACATATGTATATATGCCTTTGTGGAATTAAAAGAATTGAAATAGCTAGAACTTTATATAACATGAGAAATATTTATTGTCACAGGTGTATCTTAAAAAACATGAGACCCATTAAAAAAAAAATCAACCAAACAAATATTCTGCAAAGGTGGAACCATGCACTAATATGACAGGTTATCATTATTAAGAACAAAAAAAAAAGCAATACAAAATAAACAAAGCACAGTTTTTTTTTTTTATTTCTCACATGTATTCTTTTCTATTGAAGGCAATCCTGTTCGAGTACAATCAGGCATTGAATATAAGTATCTCATAGTTTAAGAAAATTAATATCTATAAATACCAACAAAGGTTGGTTTAGTGGGTAAGAATTTTGCTCATAACTATGAGTCATATGATTAAATCTCACAGTTCACTCATTAACAAAATCCTCACATTGGCAATGGCATTTAATCCTACAACCTTATAGGTTATGAGTAAAATTTTTATCAATTGAATCAACCTTTATTGAATAAAATTAATGAGTCAAATCCTTACCAATTGGATCAACCTTTATTCAATAAAATTAATGAATACTTTAATTTCATGTGAATGATTTTTGCAATTATAGAAATTGAGAAGTAATTGATGACAGCATGATGTTGATTACATGCGACATTGTCTCTTCAAAGGGCGCATGAGAGATAATGTTGTTTACTTTTTTGGGGCCATGTAATAATAGTTACTCCTCCAAAGTACAATATAAAGTATTTTTTAAAATTTTTTTTACTCAATTCAAAATGTAAACTATTAAATAATTTTTATATTTATTTTTTAACTATATAGCCCCACTTCTTTTATTATTGTTTTTGAAAAAAAAATCATGCATTAGGATTTTAATTAGTATTGTTAGTGCTTTTATATAGGGTTTTTAATAATGGTATAAATAAAAAATGTAGACATTTTTAAGAATTTAAAATTTTAACTAAAATTATTTATAAATTATCAATTATTTAACTGTGACTTATACTGCAGTACAAAGTGAATATATCATAAACATAAAAATTTACTTCAATTATTCAAACAAGAAGACAAGGTAACCGAAGACTAAGTCATGCGTGCACATGCACGTGTCATCTAATTAATATTAATATCAAATTAATAATCTATTGATAATCAATAGTGAGAATCGTGTTAGATTATATTGGCGTGAGTGTGTGTGTGTGTAGTCTAATTCTGTCAATCTGTGTTGTATCTACAATAAATCTAGTTGAATTGTATCTATCTTTATTTTCTCTGTACTTTAAGAGAAATTAATCCATGAAAAATGTATTTTTAATATATGTATGGAAATCAAGGAAATTAAATCCTTAGTAAAACTCAAAAAATAATTTATTCAAAAATTCAAAAAAATTTTAACTTTATTCCTTTTAAACAAATAAATATATATATATATATATATATATAACATATTTCCTCTCACTAATATTTAATGAGAGTAAAAAGAGAAAATTGTGATAAAAATTCAATGATGTAACTTATGACTATGACAAAAACATTATTCTCTCTATTTTATAAATAAAACCGAATGAAGTATGAATTTGTTTGATTACTTGTTTTTAGAACAAATTTTTTTTGAAAATATATTTTTGTTATCTATTCTAAAAAATAAAAAATTTAAAAGTTGTGAAGAAAAACTAAAAAACCACAACATTTTTATGATGTTTTGTTAATTTTTATTTTTGAAAATTAGAGAAATATCGAGAATATCATGTTTTTTATTAATGATAATTATGTTAATAAAAAATAATTTTTTCACCCTTTATTTCACCGCTTTAAATATGTTTTTTAAAATAATAATTCAAATAAATTTTATTTTTTTATTTTCAAAACTTGTTCTAAAAATAACTACTCTACAGAATTGTTCTAACAAATTGAAATTAGAAAAGAAAATGACAAGCCATATATTACGCTACAATATTTAATGCGTTGCTTTGCTGTGTGTGTAATTGTGTATGCGTATGAACATAAATTTGACGAGTCTCCTTTCTTTTCCCATTTATTTTGTAAATATTATTATACGGCCCAATTGCCTGGACAGTTATTTCCTACGCAGAGGACTGACGTGGATGACAGTTATTTGATCAATGTCTAATGTTTCTTTTTTTCTTTTTGAGCAATTCCCAACCAATTGGCAGTTATCTATTCAAACAAGCAAATTATTTCCGCGGTCAACAAACGGTAGGGGCGGTGGGAGACGGTATAAGAAATTAATTAGGATAATGAAAAAAAATATTGGAAGTTAAGAAGTTAATTTTATAGCTAAAAATAAATTACTCTGTTAAGAATAAAATATCGTGTATGCTTGAGATTTTGGATTTCTTTGATTTTCTGAACTAATACACAATGGGTATGGAGATGGAAACTTTTTATAGCTTCTAAGTGATATATCTTCCGTTGATAATAAAAAGTGATATATATTCCCTGTTGAAATTATAATTTTTTTTATTTTGAAAAATTAATATATATATATATATATATATATATAAGCCTCGTTTTTCTTGGGAATCTTGGAAGAAAGTCATTTTGTTACCTCTAAAGTGGCTACTCCCCATTTTTTTAAAAATATGATGGCTCATAGCTAAAAATAAATTGTACTATTTATAGTTAAGCTTCAAATTATTTTTATTGGCATATTGAAATTGATAATGATGAGTGTTACATAAAAAAATATTGATAAACTCTTTACACTTTAAATTATTTTCTTCACACAAAAAAAAGACTTTCTTCACCTTTACAGTTTTCTTCCATTAGATTTTAATGCTGTACTTGGCTCATAAGGAAAAATAAGGAGAAAACGAGAGGAGAGAAGATGAAGAGAAGAAAAAAGTAGAAGAATGCAACTTTCTCCCATTATGCTTGGCTAAGCAAGAAAAAATTGGAAAGAGAGAAAAGTTGTTAATTTTATGTGGATAATAATGACCTTATTATTTATAAAAATATTTATATATAATAAAATTTAATATTTTAACATATTATTATAGAATGCAACTTTCTCCCATTATACTTGGCTAAGCAAGAAAAAATTGAAAAGAGAGAAAAGTTGTTAATTTTATGTGGATAATAATGACCTTATTATTTATAAAAATATTTATATATAATAAAATTTAATATTTTAACATATTATTATAATAATTTCTATCATCTATTATTGATTGAATAAAAATATAATTACAAATTATGTTATCTAATACTGATAAAAAATTATTTTATCTAATTGACAATTTTATTTATTAAATTATTAAATATATAATAAACTTAAAAGTTTGAAACTACAATCAAATATAAGAAAATTTATTGAAAATTTAAAATTAAAATTTATCTAATTAATCTAAAAATTTAATATACTGCTTGTTTAATAAAAATTCATGATAAAAATATAATTATACTATAAATATAGAATTTAAAAATTGGTGAGTAAATTTAAAAATGATTTTTTTCCCAAAATCTGTGCATGTTTGGAGAGAAAAGTTAGAGAGAAAAAACATGTAAATCCTACATGTTATTTTTTTCTCTACTTTTTTCTCCTCTTTACTTTTCTCTTCATAACTAAATAGGAGAAAATGATACTTTCTCTTTACTTTTCTCTCCTACTTACTTTTTTCTCCTCCTTCCAACTACACTACGGCGAACTCATGTCAGCCGTTAAGCCTGTCAATGAGGTTTTTTTTTTTTTTTTTTTGTACAATAAGATTCATTTGCCTACTAAGGGGATGACACTTCAGTAAAACCAAGTAGACTGCGCCTTATAAATAGTGTTTGACTTAAGTCAACAATATTCATTTGCCCATTAAGGAGAAATAACTACGAACTACGAAGAAACTAGCGAAGTCCAAACCGTCATAAAAAAACTGGGCTTTATAATTAAGAAGATAACATAACATTCTTGTATACCCAAGTAGGCTGATCTATTTGCTTATATCTTTTAAATGTATTTGAACTATTTATCATTTTATCCAAAAAAAAAAAAGACTGTTTGCCTATATACTAGGCCCATAATGACTCATGTTAGTTGACAAATTCATATTAGAGGGAGAATAATAGTTAAGTCTCAAAATAATAAATTAAAAAAAGTTTGATTATTAATAATTTTTGTTAAAAAGAACTTGCAAATTTAAAAGTTTCAGTCTTTCAGTGGTAAATAATACATTTAAGATTTAAATGTAATTTTAAATTTGATTAAAATACAATGACCTCTTTTCAAGTTCGGTAAAATTACAAAGGCCTTCTTTTTGTTTTCAAAAATCTAAACTTTAATCAATTTTTTAACATTAGTAAGAGATTTCCATTTATAATTCTAAAATGCTTTATTGCATTAATTAAAATCAGTGAAAAATTTAAAATTACTTATATTCCTATAATGCATTCTCTCAACTACTATTTTTAAAAGCATTGTGGTTATATTTACATAAAAATTTTAAAGAATATTAAAATTAATATAATAAATATAAATTATATTAATTAAAATATTTCTCATTATATTAAACTCCTAACTCCTTTTCTTTTTCAATTTTTTTAATTTAATAATTTTTTATATGTGTTTGAAATATCTTTTTTGTCATCCAAATATTTAAATTTAAAAAAATTACTGTGCGAATAAGTTTATATAAACAGTACCGTACACTGGCATTCCTTCTATTTTGATAAAATATTATATGCCTCTCTTCTATTTTTAAAGCCTACATTTTAGTTCAATTCTTAACACCATTAAGAATATTTTGTAAAAGAATTTAAAAAAGTAATTTTTTTATTTGTAATTATGTTGGAAAAAAATTAAAATTATTAATTTACCCTTATAATCTAATTACTCTCTCTCTCTCTCTCACCCCCCGATTTAAGCAACTTTAAATAATTAAGTATGATGATATTAAAAAAATAATTTTAAAATATTGTATTAAAATTACAACATTTAAATAAAATAAAGAAAAATTAAATTGACTAATTTATCATTTATTATATTAAATCTCTATTTCATTAAGTTTTTTTTGTACATATATGGTTGGTAATTATTTTATCCAACTTATGTATTTTCCTTTTTAAAAATACTAAAAAAAATATTTTTCTATAACTAAAAAAATTTAAATATGAATGAAAAGGTAAAAAAATATATCCATTAAATTTTTTTTTGGGATGGATTAGATTATTTTTAGATAACTTGTATGTTTAAAGAATGATTTTTTGATCCAATGTATATGACTTAACAATTAACTAATGATTAAATAGATACAAATAAAATTTTAAAAATTGAAGGAAGGTTTATGTTTAGTAATTATCGATTTTAAGAAAGATTCATATAAGTTTCTAAAATAGAAAGAATGTATCTGTAATTAAGGCAAAATAGAGAAAAGATCAATATATTTTACTCTTCTATAAATAGTAGTGAAGTAAACAATCCAAAAAAAAAAGTGAAGTGAAGTGAAGTTTATATAGATTTTAAAAATAAAAGAAAAATCTCTATAACTAAGATAAAATATAAGGAATATTAATGTATTTTACTCTTGTAGTCTGCAATTAGGACCTAGTTTCCACCTATCCAATCAATATTAGCAACTCATTTAAAAAAAAAATTGTTAAGAATCTAACAGTCATTAATTTGATCTTTTAGAATTTTACTGTGACTCTCCTTTAAATAAATTAAATTGAATTTACTGTTATAAAATTATAGACTTAAAAAGAGAAAGATGTAAAAGGTTCAATTTGAAGTAAATTATATATATATATATAGTTACTAAAATCACCTATATATGAATAGTCATAAAAATTATTACTATTTTATATATATATATATATTAAGGAACTCATTCTATAAAAATATAACTTTATTTTTTAGAATTAGAATTGGATAAATTTTTAATAGAGTACTTATAAGTTATAATATCTAATTAGATGTCATGCATAATGCTGAAACACCAAAAGTAAATTTCCTTTTGGCAAATGCATAAAAATGAAGAGTAGAAGAGAGCAAGAGCCTTGATAGTGTAGGCCCATAAGGGTTAGGCCTCTAGTGGCCCGAAAACTTTCTTTAAGGAAGAATCTATCTAAGACCATTGGCTAAAAATTCGATTTCGTTTAGTCATCATGATGGCTAATAATCTAATGAGTATCGAATGCTAAAGAAGAAAACTGAACAAATAAACAAACTGACGTTATATTTGGATTAGTGACCGGATTAATTTGAATTTGGACTAAATCCATTTTTGAAAATATAATGTTTTCTAAATTTGTATCAATTTTTTTTATTACAATTCATTTAGAATTTCAAAAATATAATCTACCATAGTTATTTCAAATCTCAACCAATCTCTTTCAATATTACCTAAATATATGGACACGGATAAGTCACATAGGGACGACAACTCATTTCTATTGGTGTGAATTTTTTATGCTACCCAAATAAAAAATTTTAAATTTGACATTCTTAAAATATAAAATTTATTAAATTCAAAAATTCATCTATTCAAATCCCATTTGAATTCAATTAAGTGTCAATAAATTTTTAGTTCTGGTTGGATTTCGCATGCCTCATGTACCCTATAAACATCACAAAGACAGGTTGGCCAAGTCCCTCTTTCTTTGCCAAAAGAAAAAGTGTAAGCCTTCATCTATATCTACAATTATTGCTATTAGAATAATGCAATCAATAAATGGAGTTCCTAGACGCATGTTAATTCGTAGTTAGTATTTTTTTCCCCTCAAAAATCAAAATGGGCGCAAACATGGTATAACATTAAAAAGTATTTTCCTTTAAATAGTAGGGTGAAATACATACAGAATATTTTTCGCTGCCACGTATTTAGATGGATGTGTCTTCATGATCATTGCCACAGAAAATGAAGTCGATCTTCTGGTCGCACCTTTTATGTGCTTTTGATTTCCATAGTTTCTTCTTCGTCCAAGCCCTTTCTTTTTCTGTTCGTTTCCAATAATTATTCAGTATATTTGTTAATTCTCATTCACTCAAGTAATTTAATTACGTTCTACATTTTTTACCATATATAATCATTTTTCCTATAGTAACTGGTAATTTATATGACTATATATTATTTTTTTCTTGTAATTTAATGTTAATTTTTATTCTTAACTCACGTTACAAAATGTAAACCAATGTTACCGTTGACTTTTTAGAAAAATTATATATAAAAGTTAAGAAAAATCTACATTTTAAAGAAAAATTAAAAGACTAGAATCATAAAAAGAAAAATATTTATAATAACTATAAATTAACCAATGACAATTGGATTAGCACTAAAGCCTACTCAACGTCTTTTACAAAGGTTTTGATTTAACGTTACGAATTAAAATGACTAGGGTTGGGATGTATATTGGATACACGAGATAATTTTTACAAATTAAAATGTTATAAAATCAACTAAGTGCATGGGATATATCAAGACAGGTAATCATAAAGTCTAATTAACATTCACAGAAAAATTCTTGGCCCAAAAAAATTCACAGAAAAATTGGAAACATATGTTAGGTACGTTTTGTATGCTAAAAAGAGAATGGGTAAATTTGGTATATGCTGAAAATTAGTAACATGTCTTTGCGGACATCCAATAAAAATGTGTCTTCCAACTATAGTTAAGATAATAGGGTATACTCATGCCTAAATATCCTAATTAAGTATTCGATTGATTTTGTAAATAAAAAAATATCTTAAAAAGTACTATCTCAGGTCCCTATATTGTAGGGCAACTTTTAGAAAGATTATTTTGTCCCTGTATTAAGATCTTGATAAAGTATTAATTATATTTTTTTAATATTATTCATATTTAAAACCATTAATTATAAGGGAATGTAATATAAATTTAAAATTTTTTTAAATTAAAATTTTAATTTATTATAATTTCCTCACAAATTTAATGACTCTACCACCTTTTTTTTTTTCTAATGAAATAATTAAAAGTGTCTTATAATAAAAATCAAAGTGAATATATACTCACTTCATTTCGATTTACAATTTTTTTTTAGGCAAGATTACTTGTTCCTTCAGTTTTAAAGTACAAGGCATGCAGTTTTTTAATGTAAGGTGTTGAAAATATAATATATTTTGTGTCTTTTAAAGTACAATTAATGATAGATTTCCAAAAACACATTTAATCATATGGTGTAATTAATTGGCCAAAAAAGGAGTAATTACTAAAAAAATTTATAGAAATATTTTATTAAATAGAGATAAATATAAAAAGGATATGTAATTTTAAAAGTAATTAACTAGTTTAATTTGAAATATAATTTAGTTAAAAGTGTTTTATAATATTGAATGAAGGGTTCATTAAATATAGTTTACAATATTAAATTTTGCATAAAATTTTAAAAATACCATTCATTGAGGGGGGGACAGAAATTTATTTTAAGAAGTGAAATAATAACAGGTAAATAATATTAAAATAGTCATAATTAATAAAACATTATTTTTTTCAAAATGCCTAATACTTCTTTGACCCTATTTATAAGTCAATTCTAATATGTTTTATTGGAATTAAGGAAAAATTTAAACTTCATTAACTTCATCTTAAAATTTAACAATTTTTTACCTTTATCCTTAATAAATATTTTTAAATCTCATTATTAATATTTCTATTCAAAGTATTTAATAAGAATAAAAAATGTAAAGATGAGCATTTGAAATTGACAAATACCTTATAAATAAAATTAATTTTTTTTCTCTCTCTACTTTATAAATAAGATCAGAGGAATATTTAATTTTGAGACCCTAAATCACTTTCAAAAATATCTTATAAAATAGATTGGAGGGGGGCGCATGTTAATATTGAAAACATCCAGCAGTTCATCAGAAGCTGAACTCTTGATAGAAACAATATATATTATGCATGTGCTGAAATATATATATATATATATATATATTATTAATATCTACCATAATTTTATACAAATGTTTTTGGCTAGCTCTACCAGTTAATTAATAAACTCAGCATGCAAAACCTCGATTTGGAAAACCCAGTTTCATGAAAAGAAACTTTTATTTTCATTTACAAGTTGTACATATAAGGTTAATAATTTGAATCACCCAGACAAAACATGCATATATTAAAATTGGGTTTATAGAAAATTAACGGTTAGCCATACAGTAACTACAATGCCTCATATTCTCTCCGCCCTCAAATATAAACAAAAGGCACTGCATTTATAAGAATTTCCAATATTTTCCCCCTTAATTTAAATCAATTGTTCTTAATGAGAGATGTTGGAAATAGTGACAAATGGCAATAAATGATCATCATTAAGGAAGGAACAAATTTTAACCAAAAAAAAAAAATCTCATATATGCTCTCTCTTGTTCACAAATCAAAGTCTAGAATATTGGTAACTACTTGATGATTCTTAAAAAAATTTAGTTGAAACCTTACTTCATCAAATTTAAGAAATAATAAATAAAGTAAAAGTATAATTAAAAAAAATACCAAATATTTTATATTTTAGACTAAATAGAGAGTTTTTTAAGAAATGCTATTATATATTATACATGCACCGGACAGAGTAATTTAGAGAAATAACTAACTTTTTTAAACTCTGAAACTATTACTTCCTCTATTTCAAATTATAAGACACTTTTAAATAAAATTTCACATACCATTAAACCTTATTAAATAGACTTAGCAACTTTATCTTTTTAAAATAAAAATATAAAACCTTAATTTACTCAAAGCGTCTTATATTTTGAGATAAAAAAACTTTTTTAAAAATGTCCTATAATTTAGAATGGAGTGAGTATTATTTATACTTTTACATGTATGTGTGTGTGAAAGAGACTATAAGGAGTAAGTATCATGTAATTATCACAAGAAACATAAACATATACTCTATTCATCCCAATATATAAGGTATTTTTAATTAAATTTTACATATTAATAAATTTTTAAGGAAAACAATATTTTTGGTTTTTACACTTTGCTCATGTTTTCATATTTTTTTTGTGTGTGTGTTCTAGATCTCTATATTTTTCTCTATCTGCAATGTTGGTCCCTACATTTTCAAAGAGATGTTGACGTGGCACCAATGATGTTAATAATAATGACATGTCAATTAACACTGTTAATTTATGCTTTGTGTCAAACTGATGCTGACATGAATTTTTTAATAAGGAATTAAAAAAAAACTTAACATCAGATGAAATAAAAATATTGATATAGATTTTTTAATAAGTGTAAATAAAAAAACTACATCAAATGAAATAAAAAGGTTGACCTAGAATCTTTAAATTTTTGCTTGTTAAAAAATCCATGTTAGCATCTTTATTTCATCTTATATAAGCTTTTTTTTTATTTTTTCCTATTAAAAAATTCATGTCAATATCAATTTAATACGTAAGTACAAAATTAATGATGTTAATTAATATATTAACATTATTAATATTATTTATGTCACGTCAACATTTCTTTACAAATGTCGGAACTAATGTTATATATGGAGAAAAGTGCAAGAACTTGGAACACAAAAAAAAAAGTGTAGGAAATTATACTAAAACCAAAGCAAAATGTAAGAATTAAAAGTAGTATTTTTTTTTCAAATTTTTATTATTTAGTTGAAAGCATATAAAATCACAATATTTTAATTTTGCTCCTAATAATATCACAATTAATATGATGATGGTAAGTAAAGCATATAATTAATATACTATATACTACCCTTTTGAAATAATGAAGACAAAATTATTCAATTACTCAAAATATCATGATATTCACATATTTAAGAATAAAATGAATTTCTTAAAAACACTCTGTACCTAAGAAGGGAGGAAATTCATACCTATAGAAATGCATCTCCTAGCGGCTCCATATGAAATGTTAGCTTGTGCTCTTATCGCTGCATGGCCTCAACACTAATGCACATAATGAAGAAGAATCTGTATTGATTTGAATGAATGAAAGCGGTTTGTATATATAGCCACCTTGTAAACCGGTTTAAATTAAGATTATATTCTAGTCCACAATTTTACATTATGATATGTATGTACTAAATCATTTCGTGGACTTTGACTTAGTCAACTTGGTTTTGTAATTATCATCCAACAAGGCCACGTGGTTGATTGATAAATTATAATTTGGTTGTTTTATATATTTCGGAAGTTTCGCAGAAGTTTCCTTTACCATGTCCAGAGAACTTTATTCATCATTAGTTTGAACTGGAATTGAATTAGTGTAAATCTAAAATCGTATTACTTTATTTTCTTTGGCTAATTTCAGGGTTTAAACGCTAATAATATTATATTTCTCCCTCGTCTATATTTAAAATTCACCTTTTAAAATTTTGCATGCTCCTATTTTTAAAACGTTTTGCAAAATCTATGAACCAATTGATATTTTTTTAATAATGTTCTTGATATAAATATTATTGAGTTTAAGGGTATTTTTAGAAAGACTGAGTACTTTTATTTCAAGAACATTGACTAACTTATTTTTGTTTGTGCTAATTAATTAAATATAATTTATAATAATTATAAATACTAACTAAAGGGTTAATATTTAATAATTTAATGCTATTGAGGAAAATAAAATGCGACTTTATTTATGTTTAATATTATATTATATAAAATGATGTCAAAATATATAAAATGTATGTGTACATGAATCTCATTTGATTGATTTTATTTACATTGTGAAAGTCATAATTAACCTCATGGAAGTTTTTTTTTTTTAATGATTGAGTATTGACTATACATAATTCTAATCCATAATATCACATCATGTGTAAGCAAATAATTTTCTCCATTTTTTTATAAACACCCTCTCAAATTTTACTACGTATATAAATTCACATTATATCAACTAAAGTAATCGTATACCTACAAAATTCCAAAGGGGAGGTGGTTGAGTAAAAATGAATTTGGTTATTTTATATTTTTTGGAAGTTTCATGGTATATTACATGACATAAAGAGAAGATTGTTCATTAGCCTGAATTAGTGCAGTATAAAATTATATTACCTTCTAATATAATGTTTTTGATAATTTCAAGTTTTAAAAACTTTAAAAATATTGTTTTACTTCTTAAGTTTAATTGAGGAGGGAAATAGCTCTCATGGCATAATTATATGAATGATTATTTTCTTGGTTCAATGTGTTTAAATTATACTACATGTGTTTCAACATACATATATATGGCACACATAAATACTTGTTGCAATCATGATTAGCCTCATTTTAAACTTTAAAAATATGCACAATAACAAACTTTCATGTTTACCTATTTAGTATGGAATAATGAAAAATCAAATTTCAATCGCAATCTCATCTTATATGGAATTATTCAACATCACTATGTCTCTTATTATTGAAAATTCTATTCTGAAATTGAAATTTTTCAAAACTAATTGCCCTTCACCCCTATCCCTCTCTCGTCTCACCCTTTGCCATCACTTTTTCTCCTTCTTCCCCCATACCAATGACATCTTTTGTTGAGGGTGTCGCCAACCACCCACGATAACATCTTTTTCTTTAATTCCATTAATGCTTTGAAAAATCAAAACGATTTTTTGAAGTATTGATGGGATTGTTAGTTTGTCACATTATAGGTGGTATGAATAATTGAGTATGTTTGATTTGGATTTCTCATGATGATATTTTTTTTTATTTGCAATTGATTTTTGGTTAAATTTTATTATTTTTGGATGGTGAGAGCAGATGCTTTGAACTTAGTTACATGAAAGAATTGAAGAAGATCATAGGGATAATTGAGTATTATTTTTTTTTAATTCCATGTCATCACAAATATAATTTTAAGAGTCATTCCCACTCCCAATCTTATATTCAATTTTATTTTCAATCTTTTAAAATTCAATCTTTACTATCAAACATGGCCTAAGTTCTTTCCCACTTATGGGAATGATCATCACATTCAATTCTAAAAGCTTTTAAGCTTTAATTAAGGCACTCGGCTTTGTTCCTTATAGGAGAAGCCTCCGTTGCACTAGTCCCAAATCTAGATTTTAAGACTTAATTTAAATTGTTTACATTTAATATTTTATTTTATTTTTATTAAAATAAAAAATTATAAAAAATTTAATAAATTTAATCATCAATGTGGACAATTTAGATTTAATATTAATGATCCATATGTAACATTTAATATAAATTTTTTATAAATTGACTATTTAAATAGATATAATAATATACTCTTAACAATGCAAATTCAATATGAATGATCCAAATTTAATATTAAAAATTTTATAAATTGATTATATAGATATCATCTAGAGAGTGCAGATATCTACTAACAAATATTTTTTTCAAAAATATTTTTAAAAAGTTACAAGTTAAATATTTTACATCCAAACTGTACATCTAAATAGTTAATTTATAAAAATTATTAAAAAATTTAAATATTAAATTTGGAACATTAATATTGAATCTAAACTATTCAAATTGATGATAAGATTTATTATTTTTTTTATAATTTTTTATTTTGATAAAAATAAAAAATGACATTTTGAATTTGGACCGTCCTAAACCTAATGGGAGGAAAGAGCCTTCAATTGACTTGTCCCTTGGTACCAAAAAAACAAAAAAAATACTATTATCCCTTGTCTATAAATTGTTAAGCAGTGTCTTTTCCATCCAGTTTCCCCCCTTGCATCTTCCCCTTTCCATTCTTCCAAATACATTTTATTACTTAGAAGTAACCTCAAGAATAATGCCACCATTATTCTCTCAACTATTATTGATTCTTCTACATCTCTGCACACAACCGACACATACATTATTGATGCTTTCATCATTCATATATAGACTTGTCTATAATATATTGTATATCGTCACAACAAAATATGGTCTAGCACTTTTTATTAAATTTTGAATATTTACACGTCTCATTTTAACTTGTAAATTAATTAATTGTGTGTAGACTAATAACTTTTTTTGGCCAAATTAAAGCTGAAGACTAATAACTTTAGACAATATTTTTGGGAAACAATTATTATAATTCATACTAAATATAAAAATTTTAAATAGGGATTTATTTAAAATGGAGAAAATAATTACAGGTAAGCATATATAAAATTAATTGGACATGAAAACAATACAAAATTATTATATTCAGGAGATAAGTCAAAAGAGAAAATAAGGCATATCTGCAGAAAAGACGGGGCGATAGCCAGAAGTCAGATCTATTGAAGTCAATTTCAATATTAAAATTAAAGATATTTCAATTAGATAAGAATTGCAACTTGCAGCAACCCAGAAAAAGACTTAATTCATTCTTAAAATAAAACTGATTAAGACTAAATGTAATGTAAGGGAACAAATCAATAAAAATTAAATTTAAGGAATCAATTAAACTAAAATAAATTAGATGATTAAAAATTTGATTATCCCTTAATATTAATGTTATGTCAGGGATCGATATGCGTGGCTATTTTAAAATATTCGCCAGAGTTGTTGAGATGGTTTGGCCTCTGCCTCTGGGTTTCTATGTCAAGTCGCCAGAATAGAACATTAGAAGAGAAACCAACCAGAGGATGCAGCAAAAATGAAAGGAGATCAACCAAGCAACAAGACTCCGATCATTGAAATCTCAGTATTATCAGTGACAGTAGCAGCAGTTTTGTCACTCACTCAACTTCCTTATACGAAGGTGCAAGGAAACCCAGTCCCAACTATTCTGTTCAGCCACAGCAATCCCTCCTTGTTCCATGCTTTTGTATTGTCTCTCAACTTTGCTTTCTTCGGTTCTCTCAATTCCCTCACTCTTCGCCACTCATATCCCAGACTTGCCAACGCTTCTCTGCTTCTTTCTCTCTTCTCCACCGCCGCCTGGGCCGCCGTTCTCCTCTACCTTACCGTTCCCGTCTTCTTCACTTTTGCCACATCCTTCTCATAGATACATCCTAGGACCTGCCTCCAGAAACAAGACATGCTCAATGGGAGAGGGAGGTCAGTATAATAAAGTTTGGACATAAAATCAGCACACTGTAAAGCTTCTCTGTGACTGATATACCTCTCTGTGTTTGTGTACAGAGCTGTATGTATAGAGGTGTATATGTCTGCACAGAATATGTGTGTGTGTGTATATATATGCTCTCAATTTCTTTATAATACAAACATGTTTGGTTATGTATATGTCAGTTAATTAGTGATTGCTGTGGAGTTTGTACATATTTAGGATTTCAATATATAGGAAATTGTCCTTCAGAACTGTGTAATCCGAATTAATGTTGTAAGCTCGTACAATTGGTGTTGAAGTTAACACAAGTATTAGCATCTTTGTAGACGTGTTCATGAGTATCCCATCTCTGTGTTTGTGTATATGTATGGACAGAATATGCTCTTTCTTACAATATGAACAAGTGATGTATGTGTTATGAAGCACAAAAAGTGTCAGATATATCCCTGGCCCTGCTGCAAAAATAAAATATAATATTCCAAGAGACAGACAGGACATAGAGAAAGATGTATAAAAAGACGGCATCTCCGCAAATTTATTGCTGTACCCTGAAATTAACTTGCTATATGAGTGAATGGGATTAAATATATGTATTAATTATCTATTAAACCAGCAAAATATCAGCCGAAGAATCGACGAGAGGAGAGGAGAGGAGCAGAAGAAAATGAAAGCAAAACTTGCCAATTAAAATTGCCTCATCTCCAACCACAAGGTCAAATTTATGAGTGTGAAACCCAAGCGGATCGGAGTTTTGTGATGATTTGAATCTGATTCCTTCACACTCAGGTACGTTGGGATTGGTTTAATTCCATGGAATTTATTATTTCTTCAGACTTAGCTTGTCTGCTTTCAACCTCATCGATCTAGCGTCAATTCGGGCATCTCAACGTGCGTAATTGTGTTGATCAATGTTTGTGGCAGTGGTACGATCTGTGAGAATGGCGTCTCTGGTTTTTCTGGAAATGATTGTGGTTTTGACCCAGACGGCGGCATGGTGCTCTTCTGGGTTCCCCGTGGAGCCTTGGAGGTTGATCGCTACAGATTTTCCCTGAAAAAATGACAATTAAAACCCCTAACGTCATTAATTTCAATTAAAAACCATAATTTTTATTTAAAATAAAAAAAATACATAACATTATAAAATTGTTTTTTATTAAACACTAAAAAATACATAACTTTATAAAATTGTCTTTTACTAAACACAAAATATATATAATACTATTAAAAATATTATCATAGTATGAAAATATTGTTAATATTTATTAAAAAAAACAAAGAAACACACTTAAAAATAAATTATTTTTCGATATGAAAGAAACTCTCTTTTGAAGTATTTCAAAGTCACTTATAAATATATAAAAATAACTTGAGAATTTATTAACTTTACTTAAAAATATGAATCCAATAACTTATTAAATTTTATGCTTATTCACATATAATTAGACTATTTGTAAAATAAAAAAATGACACTATTAAAATTACTATTGTAATATGAAAATATTGTTAATGTCAGATAAGAAAATAAAAACCATACTTAGAAATAAATTATTTTTAAAGAAACTCACTTTTGAAATGTTTTAAGGTCACTAATGAATATACAAAAATAACTTAAAAATATCCTGATTTCACTTGGGGATATAAACCCAAGACTTATCAAATTTCATGTTTATTTATATATAATTATATTTAAAAAAATAAAGAAATGACATTATTGAAATCACTATCATGATATAAGAATATTGTTAATGTTAATTAAAAAATAAGAAATCACATTTGGGAATATATTGCTTTCCAATATAAAAAAACTCACTTTTAAAATGTTCCAATGTCAGTTATGAAAACATTTACGAAGATGATGTTAACAAAGTTAAAAAAAATAATTCATAATTAAATTAAGCTAGAATTAAACTTCTCCCATGTATAGTAAAATTAAAGTTTTATTTCATTAACATCATCTTTGTGAATATTTTTAGATAAGAACTCTTTAAATTTTTTTTTCTCGAGCTGATATTGAGAACAAAGACGAAAAGATTGGAGAGATTAATGCATTGTAGGCATCATAAAATATGCAAATAAACAGTTTATGGTCAAAATTGAGAGAAAGGTGTTATATAGTTTATTTTTTATAATAGAGACTACCCAATTCTCCTTGAAAATATTTCATAACTAAATTTACACCTTCACACATACTGACGTGGAGTTAGAGTTGATAATTCAGGTGAGCTGGGTTCAATTCAGGTTAGGCTCAATTCGGGTTGGGTTATTGGGATCTGTCTCGAAGTATCCTACTTTTTTAAAAAAGTTCATATAGCTAAGCCCGACCCTAACTATCTCACGTTAGCTTCGAGCTGGCCTATCAAGCTTAACTAAAATTACTCACCCTACATGCATATAAAGACAAAAATTTTAGAGGTCAAATTTATTTGGGTCAAGCTTAATTTATGCCAAGCTTAAAATATCCTACCCCCATTAAAAAAATTCATATAATTAAGCTCAATTCTAACTTTTTTCAGGCAAGTTCATGTTGGCCTGAATTACCGGCTCTCTAAGTGAATTGTTCGTAGAGTATCATGTATCATTGTAAGCCTCACATTACGTCTATAAACTAACGTTCACGACAAGCTACGATATGTTTAATTTTTAAAAGTTCATAATTTATTTTGAACCACTAGATAATTTAAGCTATCATATATTTCTAAAAAAAAATACTATATGGTTAAACTTGCAGCTTTACCTTTATAAAAATTTACAAAATATTTTTTCTTAAAAATAATTTTTTTCATAAAATAAGTTAATTAAGCTGGGACTGGCTGATTTCTCCTCTCGATGCAATTCAACAAAATCTTTCCAAAGTGATCGGACGTCAGAAATGAAGCGAGAGAGCGCGACTGCAAAGTTTGTTGAGCGCGGTGGAGTAAGCAGTGAGTTTGAGGATGGATCGAATAGTGCCAGAAGCCAAGGAGACGCCAGAATGATGACGTCATCAAAGGAGAAGCTAGTGGGTAATTGCCGTATTGCAGAGAGGAAGAACGAAAGGATCTGAAAATTCCTTCATGAGGAAAGAAAACAATGACAGGATCCAGGGTTTAAACACCATCGATGTGACGATTATAGAATTGAGATTCAAATATATTTTTCAGACAACAAATAATAAGAAAAGAACTGTGACCGCCATCGCAAGTATATGATATCACAATAATAAATTATTCAAAATATTTTAAATATTAAATCCACAAAAAAATTACACTTTTACTAATTTAAATAATTAATAATTAAAAAAAATAATAAAATGAATAATTTTGATAAAAATATAAAGAATAAAATAAATAAAGAAAATAATGATGATAAAAACACAATCACTTGAAACGTTGGTATTTAAGATTTACTCTATAGGTTGCTAATTTATACCCTTTGAGTTAACTTGAATTAATTATAGTGACAACTATTCCTAAAGTGTCCTAATATTCTCCCAAATTATTAGTCCCTTTTTAATTAGTGTTGAATTCGTTCTCACGATACTCAAGCAACTAATTAAATCGTGAAGCTAGAGTTTAAATCACCATAAATTTCTAGAATTATTTCTAACCTTGTTATTTATATTTATTTCTCTAGATCTAAGTTCTCTTTTCACCTCCCTGTCTATCAAGATTACCCATATATTTGATTAAATGATTGCTAGTTATTAAATCAATATAAAAAATAAGAGAAATAAATATAATTGAAAAAAATAAAAATATTCATAATATAAATGCAAAGAGTCAATACAAAGGAAATAGAAAACTAGCTCCCCAATTGAGTTATATCTTTATCCCAATTGGGTAATTTAAAAACACATAATAAAATTAAATAACACCGTTCCAAAATTCTCAATCATGAAAAACGATCACAGAGAAAATTAAACTCCTTAATGATCTCATTTTTAGCCTTCAGAATGTTTTTATGAACTTTAAATATCTCAAAGAGAATTTTTGAGGCATTCAGATAAGTGATTCGATGCTTTCCCTCTTGATGGAGGAGTATTTATAGTTAAAGTAGAGGTTATTTCTTTTATTCCATGTCGATGTAAGATTCTAATATATATATATATATATATATATATATTTCTCTTCTTCTTCTTTCCTTCTATTTGGTTTTTTTTTTCTCTGCAAAATATAAAGATAAAAAAATATGAGTAGATTTTATATTAAAATTTTTTTATCTTATAATTAAGTGATGAGAGAAAAAATATATAAATATTAATTAAATAAATATGAACTTAATAAATATAATTAAATTTAAATTAAAATTTATATATATTTAATTATAAAATATGTACTTATCAAACTGCGGAGAGTGGAAGATGTGTGAAAGAGATTCTTACGCTAGGAATTGAGTTGCTTTGTTTGGACTCCCAAATTACCCCATTCAATCTCTCCGATCCATGCGCTAAGAAGCTCCGCCACACCTCTTCGGCTCTTCCTCTGGTTGTCCACCGCTTGGCTTGAAGAAGAACGTGAAGGAGAGTAGAGAGCGCACGGGAATTTGAAATGTAAGTCGGTGAATTTTTGTCTGATGGTGCATTTTAGCTGGAATCCGCACGGTGTGATGCAGTGCTTTATTATCAGCTCATTTTTTTGAAGGCGTTGTTTCGTTTCCTTCAAAAAAAAAAAAAAAATCTTTCAGTCAATGATTGAAGGCATTTCACTACAAGATTGTCAAATATAGATTAATTTATTTGGCTTCTTTTTCTTTTAAGCAAATCATATTCTCTTTAATAGCCATCAAACTAAACCAATTTCTAAATATTATATATATATATATATATATATTCATTTAGCTCTGGTTAAAAAAGTCTATTGACTCATTAATAAAATTTAAAGTAAAATAAACATGATTTATATTTCACTAATCCACTATATTTGTGTCCATGGACATGATCCACATGCCATGACTAGAGAGAATATCTTTCTATTATATCCATGTACTTTGAATTTACAATTTCATGCTCCCACAAGTCTAGTTGTAGAAGGAAAATCAAGCTTTATTTTACAACCATCTAAAATCCAGCTGGAACTTTATTTCTTAAAAAAAAAAGGGATAAAATTATTACAACAATCTAATGTCTAGTTCTATAGATTAATTCACATTCAACCATCATCGAACTACAAATGAGAATTCTCTCAATACGACTTTGTCCATCTATAACACTTACAAATCATACTTCAAAAAAAAAAGCTCTTTTATTCAATTCAATCATCATTGGTTAAATAAACATACATTTGTCACATGCAAGTCCGATAAAAAGTTTGCATATCTATTCATGACTGGCTTACCTTGCATTACCAATTCATGCTTGTATTACATAGACTGATAGACATTACAGAGAATTTTGATCTTCCAAATGGGTAACATAATTAAACATTTATAACCTGGTCATGAAGTGTCTCAAGGCATATATGACTGGAAGAGGGTTCTCCAAATGGACAGCATGCCCACAGTTGGGGACCTCAACCACTTGATGAACATTGTTGCAATTTTCCTGCCCGCTCTCACAGCCTGAGCTCACTGTGTTGATCATTGTCTCAGCAATTTGCTTAAATTTAGCATCTTTCTCTCCGTACATGAATAGAAGAGGCGTTCTGCAATCCTTCAAATCTTCCCACAATGACCTGTCATGGAGGGAGAGAGAACAAAACAATGAGAAGTTAAAAATAAACACTTTTTGCAATGGCGTATTGACTTTTACTGAACAGAAGCTGCATAATTAAGAGATATTGCATAATAATAACATTGACAATGAATTGTTAATTCAAAATTTTTATCACGAGGCAAGTAGTTCATGAAGAACCCATCCTAAGAAGGTCCATTTATAGAGATGTTTATTGCATATCAAAGCTCAATAACCATCATTTCAAACAGCTTCTAAATACAATTCTACACTCTAATCAGTAATTACTCCTTCCTGAATCAGCTACTTCTAGGACCTAGCTCATTGAAATTGATAGAGTTCATTCAACACAAGAAACTCAGATGAACACGTAAGAAAATTTTTCGAGTCAGAAATAAGCATAGAACATTTTGTGGAGGACAATATGCGAATGGCGATTCACTAATTCGCTATAGAAAGTTTTACATGGGCATTGAACAAGTCAAGATATTCTACTAGCACTGTAGGTGCAACCTATGATCAATAGTCTATGAGTAGCCAATCAAAATAAAACTTTTCTTTTTTTTAACTCGTGCATAACCCAGGCCAAGATTAAAAAAAAAAAAATTGTGTCTAACTGGAGTTCCTTTTCTAGTTTCTCTTCAACTTTTGCAGCTCTTAATCGAATGTTTCATCTTTTATGCATTCAATATTATTATAGGAATTCAGATTTGCCCCTTTCCGTGAAAATCTTAGGTCATTTCAGTTGTATCCTCAATCAATATAGATGGTGCACCAGATGGTATTTAATGGTTTGTTTCTTGAGAAGTGCTCTAATAGGGACATCCGGATTTATCAATCTACTAAATATTGTGTATATAGAACATGTTATGTACGAAGTCATGAATCGTTTTAGCACAAGAACTAATGATATCAATGAAAATCAAACTGAATAAACCCAATATCCTGTGTTGCCAATGGAAATCAAATAGCAGGGTATGCACCTCTCAAAAAACAAAGATATGCAGCACTGGGTTCTCATAATACAAAACTGCCTTGCGCCTTTGAAGTATCAAACACAAGATAAATATTGTCATAGCTAGCAAAATGAATAGGCAGTCAAAATTGAATATGCTTACGGTTGCCTCCCTATGCTTAAGCCAGACAGCATCTTTGCAAGACTTCGCACATCATGTTGCTGTAAGCGGCTTGCAATTATTCGATTGAAATGAGGGTGGCTTCTAAAGCTGTTCAAACAATCACGCTTCAAAATATCGAAGAAAAGGACAGTCATAGCAGTATAATAAGATCAGCAAAATGCCCGAACAATCTGAATGTTCGAAACAAAAAAGTTACCTCCTCCACTGCTCCCCTGCATACCAGGATTCAAGAAAAAGTTGTAGCCCATGTGCAACCATGGAGCATGCTCTGGAATCATCTTTAGCTGCCCGAATTTTCCTTGCCAATTTATCATTTAACCCAGGGCTCCCAGATATTAGGACAGCTCCTTTAGCCTTCATAAAAGTTTAAATTATCAATAGCGCAAACAACTCAAAGGAAATAAAACAGCAGCTATAACCCCATACCTTGTAACCAAATTTCAATGCCATGTATAACGCAATCCTTGCTCCCATTGAATACCCAGCAAGAGTAACCTTTGCCGGAGTCATATGTTGGATTAGATTGTGTAATAAACCAGCAATCATCTCCAGAGATAAACACGGTTCCTGGCCAGCAATTTTTACTGCGTTTATTATTGATTTTCCATGACCAGGAAGGTCAACCGAGATGCATCTTGCTGATCCTGATATAGCCTTCATGATAGCAATCCAGTCATCGCCAGTCCCCAGGAAACCATGAAGAAATACTATTACATTATCCTACATTGGACCAATCAGATTGAATCAGCATCAACACAAGGATCTAAGTTTGGTTGCAGGTAAACTCTGCCCCAACTACTAGGTTTTAATATGTTTGGAGACAATCGAATAATCATCAGATAAATTACATCTTGTAAATTGAAAAGATCCAATTAGTTAACAGGAAAAAAATGTACATCACAAAGGACTGTGTTGAGCTACATAGATCATATTATCCATATTCAATGAAATTTTGGCATTATTAACTTTTGTATAGGCTTGTGCTTGGACTAGTCCATTTTACTAAAATGGCTTAAGCTATTTGGTTAGGATTACTGCAAGCTAGCACACCCTTCATTTTTCTTATCACTTATAGATGCGGGGCTTCCATTCTCCAATACTCCCCCTCAAATGTAAGTGGACTTCACTCACTCTTTTTCAGTTATCAATCGAACCAAATTTTATTTCCTTGACCATGTGTTCTTTAAGCCTTGGGGGCCTCAAGTCCTTCATTTTTCTTCATTGTCTGGCTTGTACTCTTGAAGTTCAGAGGCCTCAAACCTGACAATCTTTTATGGCAGCAAGGCCTTTTTCTTTCTACTTCTTTTATGATACCATATAATTTTTCCAGAAACTCTGTTCAAATATTCAATCATATTGAACAAAATACAGATAGGAATTGATAGCCACAAAAGTTAACTAATCATTCAGAAAATCAAGGAGAAAAATCTGGAAAACAAATCAGGAAAATGATAAGCAAAATCTGAAAATATAATCCTTCTAAGAATGGAAATAAATCATAACAACAAACTAATTAGGCTATAGTGCCTAACACTAAGGCCATAGACTCACCAGCAAGCATGAAATGTGTCTTCCATTCAGCCTCTGAGAAAGTAAAGGTCCCAAGGCATTGATAAAAAATCTACCCATACTACGAGTCCATTCATTCAAGGAACCTAGAATTTTTATGTAGTATGCATGGTTTGGCTTGTTCCTATGAACTTAAGCTCTTGCAGCACAAGGCAACTTATGAAAGGAATAGAAAGTGAATACATAGTGACACCCATCCCATTTGCATTGGCTTGTTCCATTGATTGAAGTTGGAATATATACAACAACTTTATGCTCAATATCTCAAGGAAATTGAACCAAAGCTATTCGCAATATGCATGGAAACTGCTATACTTACATCATTCTTTTGTCCAATCTCTTGAACTTTAAAGAGACAAGAGACATTGTCAAGCTCTACAGTCAGCTGGTGCCTATGAACTTGCTTCTCGGTCATAACTTTATTGATCACACTTTGGTTGACTTGAAAATTCTCTAACAGTTCTCTAGCATCAGCCACTGATGCTTCAATAAAATTACTGTGTGGATTACGGCCTATTAAAACAGGATTGGATGTTATGTCTTCCTTAAGCCAACGATAGGTTCCCAGACCATGAGCTACAGATGGGACCACCTTATTATTTGACACAGTGAATCTACCTGCATCTTGCATATCAAGATAACAAGAAAACTGCACATATGCAGACAAACTTAGACTGCTTTCAAATGCAGCACTGACAACAGCCATCTTTCCCAGCCGCTGGGCCCATTGGGCAATTAATGCAGCATTCTCAAATCCACCAACCATGCTTGGCTTGATAACCTGAAAGATAAACAAGGGAGTAGCCATTATATATTAATGATATCATCAGTGTATTATTACTAACTGTCTGTGCCTTTGTCATCTTACGCCATCTAGGGGATTTTTTTTAGGGAGTTCTTAAAATCTTGGGAGAACCTTGAACCATTAGAGGGTCTACTCCCTGTATTTAAACATAGGCACAAATATATCTCTGATCCCTTAACTGTAATTATTAAGAATCATGTTAATTTTTTAACTTTTAAGATACTGTCAGAATTTTCCGAATTCTTAACACCATTAAATAAGTTAAAGAAATACAATTATTCAGATATTTAAAAGCTAAATTATTAGTATTATTATATTTTAACTAGTCTAATAATTATAATTAAAATACTTTTAAGGCTTGAAATAAATAATTGGAAATTTAGTACCTTCAAATTAAAAACTATAACATTAAAATAAATAAGATGTATTTGAAACATAATTTAGAAGACACTCTAAATTACAAAATTGAAATAAATAAATTTTATTTTTTCTCAGCCTTGAAAGAAATAAGTTTTATTTTCAGGTTATAAATATTTATTCTAAGATGTTAATAATATTTTATTGTGATGAAAATTCAATATTTAACTCTTGTACTTTAGGTTTGCTAGTTAAATTTTCCAACATTGTGTAAATAAATAAAACTTACTCCCTCAATTAAAAAATATAAAGCATTTTTTAAGGAGTTGGATGTTTAAAAATATAAGGCATTTTTAGTCTTTTGAGGTGTAATCATTACCTTTTTTTTTTCACAAATGCCCCTATTAATGAATGACTATATTTATTATAGAGTATTTAATAGGGATAAATATAAAAAGAAAGGGTTAGTTTGAGAGTAGATAACTACTTTATTTAGGGGTGAGATTCTATTAAAAATACCTCATATTTTTGAATGGAGAGAGTATTTATTTTAAAGTTGTAACTCTAAATATTTATTAAAATATTTAAAACTGATTTACTTTATGGTTGCTATTTTTTATATCATAAATCAAAATATATTTTTTAAAATTTAAGGCATTAATTATTTATTTTAAATATCAAATAGAATTTGATTATAATAATTAGATTAATTAATGCATAATAATTTTATTAAGAGGAATTTTGAGCAGGCAAGCTATAATTTTCCGTTAACTTATTTAACAACTTAAGTAATGGGAACTTTTTGACCCACCTTAAAAATTAAAGAACTAACAAGAACTTGATAAAATTAAAGACTAAAACGAAACCTGCATCAAAGTTAGACATCTTAATGTTTTTCCTTAAACCTATAACTATTCTGTGCTGGTTAAATTTCTCAAAAAAAAAAAAGAGAAAATAATTTGATAATGTTATTTTACTATTTTGATTTGGTAAGAAATGCATAACTATTTAACGTGTTGAAGGAAAATACACATTTACTCACAACAGCCACTATTTTGGGGTGAGAAAACTTCATTAGCTTTTCCAGATGATTTTCATGAATGTGATCTATTGTTTCATCAAGGGCAACAGGTAAGCCACTTTCTTCACAGAACCTGAGTATGTCATCTTCATCTTCAACAGGCTCCTGAAGAAGGATATAGTCACCAAGAAGTTAAGAAATACAGTATGATACCATACCAAACATGAAAATACAAATAATGTAGCGGAAGTTGAGAAACAAAAACCAAAGCTGAATAGCAAATCTTAACTATTACTACAAGAATCCTGTTTTTGTAGCCTACCTCAATATACTGCAGCCCACAATCCTTAACAAAAGAGCTGAATTCCATGGCTTCTTCATAAGTCCATCTTCGATTTGCATCTGCACGGATGTCAATATGGAAACCAACTTTCTTTCTCACTTCTTGTATTATTGAAGCAGAGTGCATTGGATCACCCCATTGAGCCACCTGTAATGGCATTACAACTTACTGACCTTCCATCTTCTAATCCTTACCAGCTCATTTAGCAAGCAGCAAAGAGCTGGAAGCATATGAAGCAGACAAATATTGCAAGGCTAAACTCACCTTTAGTTTCAACAAGGAGAACAACAATAATAAGCCTTATCCTACAAACTTACCTTTAGTTTAATTGCACAGAATCCTTCCTTAACAAGCGCAGCAGCTACATTAGCTACTTCAGCTGGAGATCCATTTGCATCGAGTAAAGCACAAACCTGAACTTCCATTGAACTCTGATATTTGTCCTTTTCATTTGTCTGGCAATGCAGTATGTCGAATAAACTGGACCCTCTTCTATCAGCTATAGCATTCAGGATGGCCATTTCCAAACCACATCTGACACTTGGAAAGATAGAAGAAGGCTGCATCCAAGTACTATAACTTCATGACATGAACAACAAAACTAAGCCCGAGATTTTAGACAAAAAAAAAAATGCTATATCCAATAAAAGTAACTTCACTACATTAGGAAACAAAATAAGGCTAAACCTTCAAAACTGTATGATATCATGAACATTTTCTGTTCATGTCACAAATTGATATTGTATTGTCCAGGAACGAGTTAGCTTTATGTTTTAGCTTGTTAGGTGTAGGTCCAGGAGTGGCTTATGAATCCAACACGCCTTCTCCAACAAACGGCCATAGGACAAGGAGCGTGAAGTATGGACAAAATACAGATGTTGTCATTGCTGATATTTAATCTTGAATACGATTATAATCATGGAAGGGTTTAAATGATCCAAGAAGCTTCCAATTAGACTAGTGTGAATCCAGGTCAAGTTTCACTGGCCCAATACAATCTGATTCAGAATCTGCCCAGCCCGACCTTTTGATGCCTTTTGTACTATTGATTAAAGGGTCCTCGAGCATAAATGTCCTACTCAGTAAGTTCCCCGTGGTTTTGATTTGAGGTGAGGATGGAGGCAGTGAGAACTGAGAAGCAGACTCCCAACCACTCAATTATAGAAGCTTAATTCATTGTCTAGGACCTAGGTCACCTAAAAGTTTAAGCAGTTAAGAACTGGTCAGGAATAGCTTTTATATTTTCAATTATGCGCAATCCAGATTAGACAACTTACCAGGATGCCCAACTCATTCCATATCCAACATGAAAATGAGCCCTTCAATAGAGACAAGAAGCAACTAATTTTAACCCCCTTCATGGCATGTATAAGAAACCTAAGTTGATCTTCTGCTTCTTTCAGATTTTCCCTGTGGATCTCAAGAGGAGCGACCTGCTTGATTCAACAGCACATAAATGAATATTTTTTTTTTAGAGATTTTGAAGACAAGAACGTGCATCAATATCAAGAGAATAAAAATATTAAATTGATCACAAAAGGTGCATAACATGATAAAATATTAAGTCGATACCAACCTCACCAAAACCCACACTTCCATCTTCAAGAAATAGAGATAAAATAAAGCCATCTCTATGGAATTCTTTATGATCAAAACCAAGAGATGTTGATGTTGGTGGAGCACATAGAGCAATTCTGCCACAAATAATTGTGAGCACATAGTGAGAACATACGACAGATCTCAAAAAGGAAGGGGGGGAGCATAATTGAGATTAACTTCATGTACAATTAGATCACTAACCTATATTGCGAATACTCTATTTTATATGCCTTGAGGCAAAAGAACTCATCTTTCATAGAGTTTTGACTAAAAGAAGCTGAGAGAAATCTTATAGTGTTCTCTGCTGTCTGAAGGGCAAACTTTCTTAGAATACTGAGTCAGAATGCAAAATGAATTAGCAAAGAGGTAACGACTCATACTACATCTGAAATAAGAACTGAAGGACCTAAACCTGTGAAAATTGGCATTGCCATCAATGGAACTCTCAATTTCAACTAAACAGTCCATATCTTCATTTTTTGCTGCAAATAAAGCATCCTCAAGTTCCATCTTTGTCTGGGCATACAAGTGTTTTATGCTGAAAATACATTGATTTTATTTCAGAGAAGATAGGACAAAAAGTACAGAAACAAAAACATTTATTCTGATTCTTACCCATGAGCCAAGCATAACTTTCCAATTGAAATGTTATGAGAGGTGTAAAAATACTGATGCAATATACTGGGTTCAGTTTTATTTGCCAGAGGAAGAAAACTGAAAATTCCACCCCCATGATTGTTTAACACAAGTATTGTCATCGGTTTCCTCAATTTACTGAACATGAAAACATTCAGAATATCAATAACACACATACATGAGAAAGGTCATCAAAAGTTATAACTTAACAATAAGTACATCAATAGATTACAGGGAACCCTGTAGTGAAGTAATCAAACATACAAGTTTTCTCCTAAAATGACATTTAATACACTATGTATACACCATTAAAGAACAAACAGCACCTTCATCAGAATAAAAGAATTCTTTGAGCTTTTTATCAACAGTGTCAGGAATGCACTTACACTATAAAAAATGAAATTTGTACACAAGCTCATACCTCTGATTCAAAATTGCCAGACCATTCGTGTCATGGAGAAAAGAAACATCTCCAATCACGCAAAACACCTAACAAAATTATGAATATAGCATAACAATGCAAAGAGGAAGAACTAGTGATTATTCTTAGATGAAAATATTCTTGCGAATGGGAAAAATTACAAATCTTTCCAAGATACAAACAAGAAACAGTGAAATTTGTGCTTGTGGGAATTATGCCCTTTCAGGATCATAATAGCAGATATATATAACATACGCACACAAACAGACATGGATTTTCTGACCATTTTGTATGCACAAACCTTGATTGCTAACTGGCATTTTAACTTCAAGCCAGTTAAGCACAAAGGGATGTAGTCTGAGAACAAATTTATTTCCTGATGGGTACCTAAGTGGGATGGGGTAGGGTATATTGCATATAAATATGACTATGCTAAAAAAACGCAAGCATGTAATTTTCTTGATTATATAATTATTGCACCTGAAATACCCATATCCTGGAGCATTTAAAACTTGTAAACCCTTAGATTTGGCATGCCTTCCACATCATTTACCAGAATGTATTGTTAATAGATATAAATTGATCGATGCTCTTGTTGATAAACTATCTTCTGACCTATTTTAATATACGAATAAAGAAGGAAAATGAACCCCAAGAATAAAAAAAATTTAGAAAAATAAAATATCAAAAGAAGAATCATAATGTACCAGTTATTTATTTGCAGCAAATGTTCATTAATCTATTTCCCAATTAATAACATGAAAATATTGGTATATTTAATATTAAAACCACACATTTCTGCCTAAATCAAGTTGAATGCCATTTTCATAAACATGAGATGTTCCACCCCATGAAAAGGCACAGTTTAAGCACTGAAAAAACAGTCCTCCAAACACAGTTAAATATATTTTTTGAAAAAAAAAAAAATTACCTTTTTGTTGCATCCTACAGCAAAGCCAATGGCTGTGCTAAGTAGCCCATCAATACCACTAGCCCCTCTATTGCCAGCCACCCTAATCCAGCTAAATGGCAAGTCTGAATCTAACATGAGAGACGTAACACTTTTACTGCATATTGACCTATTGTGCCCATACATATCTGCATCACGAATTGGCATGCTGTTCCCAAGAAAGAGAGCAGATTCAGAGGAAAGAGCTTCAGATATTACATGAGCAACATGAGGTTCTGTCAGGGAACACTCAATACATATTTGAAATTGCATTTCCCATTCAACCTGACAATTAAGTTGTTAGAGAAATCAGAGAGTGAAGAAAAAGCAAGGGAGACCGAATAATAATTTCAGACCAATGGTCAGACTGATAAGGACATCAAATTTAAGACAATCAAACAACTAAGTCTGGAATTACTGATTGGAAACTTCAGTAATGAAATATATAACAATTTTTTTAGCTTCACAGCCATTTCCAATTCTAACATTATGTAATCATGTTTTAATTTGACAGGCTTAATAGGTGATTAAAACTCAAAATACATGGACTCTTACCACCTCTCACTAAATCCAAATTCAAGGGGACTCACATCATTAATGACATAATTAAGGACCTAATTGTCACATCACATCATTTATGATGAGATTTAGCTTGGTCAAACCCTAAAAACATAAGAAGACAGGTGCAACAGCATCTATGATTCTCAACACAAATGACGGAAATTCCACTTTAGTTGACAAAGGGGTCAAATCTTGGTGTGGACAAACTTAGGTGACAAGCTCCTTTTTGAATAGTCCAAATACCAGTTTTATGATTAGTGTCATGAACCTACTAAAGAAACCCTAGAAGCATTAACCTAAAGAGTCTGGTACACAGAAACAAAAATAAGTTAGAGAGAGAGAGAGCAAAAGCATGAAGATGCTCCTTAAACCAGACAGTCAAATCTCTTCTTGATAGAAGATCAACTATATGGTATTGTTTGCATGTCGAGGACAATCTGTTATATGTAGGATCAAAAAGCAATTAGTTATTGCTCAAAATAGTACTGAAGTTGAATTTTGAGATATGGATTATCTATGAAGGTATATGGTTAGGGGAACTTAAACTCTCAACTCTAGCATCCAAGAAGTTATCATGTCACCAACAAGCGTAAATAAGGATTGCAAAAAAGCTGGTCTATCATGACAAAGCAAAACATATCAAAATTGATTCACATTTTATCAAGAAAAAATAGGGAGAAAAATCATTGTAAAGAAGCACAGAAATGCATTATATAGAACCCAATCTATCATGACAAACCAACCATATTGAAATTGATCGATATTTTATCAAGAAAAAATATATTAAAATCACTAAGCTAATTTACACACCAAGACATTCACAGAAAATTGATATTTTGACCAATGTTATTTGAACCCCAATTTGATGTTTACTTATCCAAGCTAGATATGATTGGCATACACTGCCCAACTTGAGGGGAAGTGAGAAATTCCAAGTTTTCTTTTCTTTGAAAATTTCAAGGAGAATATTTTAAGTAGCTTATACCCAAAAGAGACAACTTTAAAATACTCTTAAGCTCTTGCCCTATAAATATATGTTCTAATTTCATGTAGAGACACACAAAGATATTCATACATAATAGAATACAATTCTTCACTAATTCTTCACAGTCAACTATAAACCAGACAACATTTTGACAGCTCAAATTCACACCATAATATAATTTGAAAACATATTAAGCTCCAACAGAAAGGCCACTGCTGAAACACATCAATTTGGATTTTTTAAAAATGTCAACATCATCATAACAAAAACCCAAAGTAACCCATCATTTTTGGAATTAGTACCATCTTACTCAACACTTGTAAGGAAGTGGCCCACTTGCTCCTTGAATGAGGAACTCTAGCCTTTATTAAAAAATCTACAAAGCCAACAATGGAACTTTGAATACGATGAGTCACAATATGTGAAGGATCCTGACGATTTGGATTCTTGTCAACCATAATATATGAAAAGGGGACACTTTCATCAAGCATCTGACAGATTCTTTTGCTAGTTATTCTACTTCCAATCTGTTTCAAATACAAAAAAGGAGGGTCATGGCGAACAAACTAGACAAGAATAACCATCATGAGTATCAATACAAATGTGCAGAAAAGCACCCATTGAAACAAATAAAGATATGTAAATAACTAGAGAAGGGAAGAGCTTCATAAATACAATATACCTGAATCACCACATCAATCTCTAACCATCCTCTGACAGACTTGGAGAGCAGAGCATGATCAAGATAATCGACAAATAAAAAATTTCCTTCAATATCAGGAAAAGAAGTCAAATGCTTCCTTAACCGCAGTCCAGAAAGGATATCTGTTACGACAGGCCACATGAGGTGTTTAACCAAATGAAGAGCAGCCCATATCTCATCCTCCGTATGGATTGAACCAATGACCAGAAGGCCATGTTTGGCCCTCAGGATCAAAGTTAAAACATCAGTCAATTGGCCAGTTGGATTATTAAATCTACAGGACTGTTGCATATGAATGTACTTTGTATATGGTTGGGCATTAGTGATCCAATAGTCTAAGCCTTTTAAACAGCTTGATTTCCATTTGCTGGGACTATTTTCCAAAGGTTCTCTGAAAGGGCAGTTAATATGGACTGGACCACATGGTGTAGAAGTGGCCCGGTGAACAGCAGAATCCAGCGTAGTAAGTACCATCTTTGCTGGAATCTGATCTGTGGGTGCAGGAAGATTGAAGAAATATCTCACAAAAGAACCGAAATGGTTAACCTGCAAAGAAATTTAAGAATGTGTATCTTCAGTAACCAAGGCAAAATGAATACTGATGTTCTCTCATTCAGAGCAACTCATCTATGTGCCAGTGCAACTAAACAAAAGGGAATCTTAAATGTCAAACCCACACTTTCTGTTAGACAAATAAACAGTTGTAAAATAAATTTTTGGACACGAGGTTTTTGACTGCAGAAACAAGCCTCAAATCAAAATTCACAAATTATAGCAAGAAATCAAAATGGAATGAAGTAAAAGTCAGGAGGGTATGCCATTCAATATTATATATTACAGTAAATAAACTAAATGCAGTAAGGCTATTGTTAGGTGAACAATTAAATCAAATGTTAATGAAACATAAATCAAGCCACTTTCAACATCAAAACTCGGGCACGATATTTTTTAACAGTACTATATAGTAGGACTTATAAATATCAGAATTTCTTAAAGGTCCCAGCTTCAGGTCCAACAGGGAGTACCAGAGGTAGATTCATTGGAGATGGATATGCCATCTCATCATGTAGCATCCAGCAGACCAGGAAAAAAATAAATAAATGCTACACTAAATAAGAATACCCATAGCGTTTACCTGATAAATTGCTTGGTTTGCTCCACATTCCTGCAGCTCTGGAGGTCGATCAGCTGTAAGTAAAATAAGTGGTACAAAATCTTGACTAGCCTCCACAACCTGCAAGTCGTTAGTAATATGATATTATTCTAAGTAATCAAAATTCAAAACCATTATTCGTTTCTGAATCTCTTTTTTTCTTTTTTTTTTCTTTTTCCAGAATTTGCATCTGAACCTTGACAAACATGGACAGCACATTACTCAAGAAAATTATGCTCACGGAATCAAAGACACAAATAATATAGAAAAAAAAAAACCAAATGAAACAACACAGTCAAAGAAAACACTAGAATACCCAGAAAAGGGCTTAAGCTCCCCCCTACAAATAATAATATAATTATTTAATAAAACTCCTCAACAAGAAATGATTTGATGGAAGTCCACAGAATGAAAGGCCAAGATATGAATAAGATCATAATGCTTTTAAGATAAATAAATTGTTAGATATTGCCATTAATATAATTGTTGTAATGATTCCTAGAATTCCTTGTAATTATTAGTTGACCCTTGTATTAGGGATAGAATCAGGGGATTATCCCTAATACAAGGTCAACAATTAATTGCAATAAATCCTAGCAATCATTACAATAATTACAAATCTAGCATAAATCGGTATCATTAAAAAGATGATTAAACTCACAGCAGGAAGAAGATTTGAAACTGCAGTCCCTGATGATGTTATTATTACTGCTGGAATGTGAGATCCTCTTGCATATCCAACAGCGTGAAATGCTAGCGAGCGCTCATCAAAACATGAAATACATGTGATTAATGTATGACTAGATGCAGCAACAGCAAGTGGGGAAGACCTTGATCCAGGCGCTATACAAAAATACTAGAACAAAAAAACCAGTCAGAATATTGCATCACAATGGTGACAACTGAATCATAGTTATTTATCATATACCTTACCGTTAAACCAAGTCGTGAGCATTCTTCAATAATAAGTGATGCCCAGATAGCATTGATATTGGCACTTTCTTCCAGTGAGTGAAACGATTTATTTGCTTGACCTAGCTGATAGTAGAAAGAGACACAACCTGAACAATCTTCAGCCAAGTTCAATCCTTCTAGCATTCTTAAACTAAATCCCCAATGCATTTTGTAATGAGATAATCTCATAATCTATAAACCTTAAAGTTGATATATTATCATTAACCAACAAACAACAAACAACAAACTTAAATTATGAAGACTAAAATCATATTCACCAGTGCAGTATGGCAAATTTTAGCAAGTACAGCTGTACAGAGACAGATAAATCAAAATATGCCACATCGCACGTGTGTTAATAGATTCAAAATCGTGAACAGTTATCATTACTGAATTAAGTATGATAACTGTGATAAATATTCCAGTGGATGCAGTGACAATCAGGGTATGATGTTGGGCAAAGTTGGGAGTTCACCAAATTGTTAACAGTTTGGTGTTGCAGTCAAAGATTGCAAACTGCATTGTATTGAGCTATTAGGTTTGACTATGGCATGTCATTTATTTCTTTTCAAACTATAAACTGGCAATGTGTTGGGCACCCAAATGAGATTGGACCCTTCCCAAAAACTAGCCATTGAGATAGGAAAATCAACCCACTCAAGTACCCCATAAAACATCTCATGCTACTCAATATGGGATTTAAACATCTCATAGGATCTTAGTTTCCATCAATTGGCCACTCTTAGAAAGCCAAGGTCCCAACAGCTACACTTGCAACACTTCACTCAGCTTCCTCGCCTATCAAAACCTTCCACAAGTAGACCTATCTTAAGTGGCCAAACACTAGCAGTGATACTAAGAGAAGACCACCTAATTGGGATAGGGATGAAAAAACTTCCCCCCAAAAGCTAGCTATTGAGATAAGCGAATTAGCCCACTTAAATACACCATACAACATCTCATATGAGTCATTGTGAAACCAAGGTGTTCCATAGTACCTTGGTTTCCATCACAATGCAATTATAATGAAAATACATGCAGTTCTGTCAAACAGCAAATATGGCCATATATACTCAATTCTGACTTTAGGCACAAAATCTGGTCTAGCTCTGGAATCAGATTCCAGAAGTCAATAAGATGGAGTATGTTTTCTTGTACCAGAACAAATTTGCGGATCAGGGTTAGGATTTGAATCAGATTCTTGATATCAGACAAGGATGGAGCCTGTTTTGCGATACTAGAATCTAGATCTAAATTCTGACTTCTGATCATGTCCCACATTTGATCTGCTTTAACTCAATCAATGCTTTGGAAAAATCAATTGACTTTAAAATATAGAACCTTCTCTTCCAAATACTGCTGTAAGATATACCTATACTTAATATATGCTTTTTCTGAGTAAGCCAACACAAGAATACTTTTTTTTTTTTGGGTGAGAAAACAAGAATTCATAATTACATACCATGTCATTCGCTAAAGCAACAGCAGGTGAGAGCCTGAGACAGAATTGAGTGGAAGATGGAGACTCTTTCTGAAAAAGGAACAGAAAAGAAAAAGGAGAAAATGAAAAGGGAAAGAACAGTTCAATTATGCAGAGAACTGCAGAGTGCAAGTAAACTAGAATCAATGAAAAAATAGAAGACAAAAAAATTACCGGGAAAAAGGGGATACCAGTTCCATGATGTCAGCCATGCTACCTCTTTTTCCTGGTGCAATAGAGTTCATGTATACCTAGCAAAGTATGTCAACCAGGAAAAGAGAAGCAAACAATAAATATATAGGCCACTTGGATTAAACCCCTTTCACAGAAGCAATTTTACAAGTTAAAAGAAAATAAAATAGATGTCAGATAAAATGCTCGCCCAAAAAACTGCAGATAAAAGAAGATAGAAAATTGGATTTTTAAATATTTCCTTAGATCAACCGAAGTCAGCAGAAGGAAGTAATACCGTGCACTCTAAGATGGCTACAGTTCATTAATATTAACCCTATATAGGCACCAAAGACCCCCCAATTTCCTGCCCTCACCTTTCAGGACCCTTAATATCCCTAACACAATTAGCAATAAGGAAAAAAAGTGGATCCTAAAATATGAAATAATGAAGAAACAGGTGCCTTAAAGGCAAAGGAACCCATCTAAACTATGCCTAATTCAATGATCCGGAAAAAAAAAAAGTGAAACATTCACCCATTTAGGTGAATTCTTATGTATCTTCATTACATATTTGGAAGCCAACTTGCTTGAAAAAGCTCTAATTGAGAGTAAAACAGACTTTTAAAGGACCAAGAAAAGTTCATCACTGTCCTTGTCATTCAAAGAAAAAGAATCTCAGAAAAAATTAGAATTATCCAATACACAAATGCCAGAAACAGGAGCATTATGCAGAGAAAATAATCAAAATGACATGGAAAAACAATAGATGAAGGGAGATCAACACCCAATTAAACTTCAAAAATAAGATAATCCACATTCCCTTAGTAAAAGAAAGAAAAAAACAGATTAATCCAACAGCATTTCACCATCACGTTATATGTGTCACTGCCATGCAGCTGTCACATCTAATACTAAGCAAGACTCGGACAGAATGAAAAGTACAGTTAAATGAAGTGCTGTGCATTAACAAGGCCATGGAATAAGTAATGCAAAAGACAAGTAAGAATAAATTATTTAAGCATGACTGCCAAATATTGTACTTCAAATAGTAAGGGTTCATTATTTCAGGAAAGAAAGGACCAATACCCTTGGAATAGATCCATTTTCCACCAAACTGAATTTTCTGAGTGTAGATGATGTACAGTTGGACTGCCATGTATCAGTAGTGGGACAGATATGACAAGACAACTTCACAAAAAACGAAATATCATCAATGAGAATTGAGAGATGCAAAATGAAGAACAATTAAGTGCAGTGAAAATAATTTTCAGGCCCATGGAAAAACTTCACACTGGTCAGGGTATGAAGAACAAAACAACACACGATCGAACATCATGAAATCAGTCCAGAAAAATCATTCATTACTTCTACATTATCCTAAAAAGATCAAACCAAAAATGAGCTAAACACCAAAAAGAAACATTACAATTCTATCCTGTAATAAAGTTGGTGGTTAATTCTGAAATTAGAAATTTGAGGATTCCTCTCAACTTGCATATAACCAAAAATTATAGCAAACAACGAAGTTCTTAATGAAACAAATTTCTACAGGGAACAAGGACCAAATGAAGATACTTTTTTTCTTCAGGAGAGATCTTGAAACAGGAACCATATTCCTATCCTTCATCTAATTGATCATTTAGCAAATAGGATGGGTAGTTTCTGTATGAACAAAATCCTCTACCACAGTAAAGCGAAGTGCATTGCTTGGACAGCTATAATCCTACTGAAGTACAGCACACCTTTTACATTGAGGCTGTGGTGATAAATCATAAATTCCTCTGCTTTTCTTCAAAACTTAATTAATCACAGAGGAAAAAAAAACCCCAATATGCTGACAAGAGTTTCATGCCTATTATATACAGATGTTCCCAACATTTCAGTGATTAATTACAAAAAACCATCCATATTTGAACAAAATTGAAGAATCTTAAATACACGTGTTGTGCATTATATTGATAATTGAACTCAAATGGAGAGTAATGGCATTGCCAGCTTGTTCTGTTTGGCACAGTTCATTTTTTGAGTTGCAAAAATTGTGCAATCCCTCATATGGGGGTTTTCTGTGCCCAGAATCATATGACATGCGAGGATGTACTTCTGGTATGCTAAAGATTCTCTAATGGTATTTTATTCAGCTAAAATATCTTCATTAGTCAAAGATAAATCTGAATTCTAGTTTGAAACTTTGAACATTTATTTAATTTATAACTAAAACATAAACCTGAAAAGACATGACAAAGGCAAGCTAAATACCTGGTTAAGAGAAATATCAAGGGAGTCAAGAGCTTCTTTGAATGTAGAGAGGGAAGAATCGTCCCATGCAAGTGTTAATGTCAAAATGGAAGCCGTCTCCTGCTCATCCAACTCAATCTATAATAATAACAGTTACTGTTTAATAGCTAGTGGATATTGGAATGTTAAGAATGCAACCAAAAGAAACAATTAATAACATATAATTTGAACTGATGCCAATGGCACTGACAATAAATTCACCTGAGGGACAAAGAAGAAAAAAGAACCATCCTCATGATTCATGGAATCTAAATCTTGATTGAAATTAACATCCTTAAAGCCATAAGCCACTACCAGGGTTGAATCACTTGATACATATCTACAGGCAAATGAATACATTCTTCAGTCAATTCATAACAAGTCAAGACTAGATATAACTGGAAACCATCCCTATCACCTGCATGTGAATGAAGTTCCTTAATAAATTAAAGAAAAGGAAAAAAAAAACGGTAGCTTTTTCACATAGAGCCTTCCATAATAAATTAAAACCCTGGAAGAACAAAGCACTCGAGCTTATATGCAAAGAAATTAACCCCCAACAAGTGGGGATTTTCTGTTCGATACTTCTAAACGAATAATAATATTCCACATATCCTCAACCCTTCTTGAAGCCACAGGCTTGCTCATCAAATCCATGTCGTCTTATTCGAAACATACATGCTCAAAATCCTCTCATGATCCAATGAAAAATAGAATCGACAACCAAAAGAAAAGGAGAAAAGGTTGGATTTAACCTTTTGAATAAGCTTTGCTTTCCCATGTTGTGAGAAGAATGACGAGTAAAAGAAGCGGCAGCGCCAACTCCAAAAACTCCACGGCGACCATTCACATGCAGCGATTTACACGTTGGATTGTCCGAATTCTTGGAAAGATATATTTGAGGAAAAACTCCAGATGACTCTGGCTGACAACAAAACCAACTTAAAGCCTTAGGACTTGGAGGCACTGCCACCTGAAAATTCACATCCATATAGCGTGATATAAAGCGTCGCGTCACTTAAATAAACAGCCCGCATTGGAAAACAGAATCTAGAAATAGAGATGAACTAGTAAACATACCTGAAACCTGACGAATCCACTAGAGCAACAAGGACGATCTAACCTAAACGTTTGCAGAGCCTCCTTAATTCTTTCAAGTCCCTCCTCCAATGTCAATGCCGGAGACAATGTTCGTGTAATGCAATTCTCAAAAACCAAATCAATATCCTCATTGTTCACAATGTCATCGATTTGGATCAACGGACCGTCGAGCTTCACCCCTTCCACGAACTACAAATACAGAGAACTCAGCCATAAAAAAGAGAAGACGAAAACACAGCAAGTACACGTAAACTGAGAGAAAAAAATATGAATGGCACCTCATAATTTCGTTTTCGGCAAAGAAGCTTGAAAAAGCGAGAATTTCTACTGAGAAACACTGTAGCCGTTGATGAAGAACTTCGGTACAAAAACGAAATTCTGGTGCGGTTCGAGAATGTTGATATTGAGGAGAAACCATTACCTAATGGCAATGCGCGAAACTTCATTCAATAACGATGAGAATGAGGAAGGGAAGGGAAGTGCAATATGGAACAATACTATCTCAATGCACAGAGCGTGAGAAAAGATAAGATATGGAGAATTACTGAATTAGTTAGTTGGACTCTTGGATTTTTGGAAAGTGAAACTTTTTAGATTTTGCGGGAGAATCACGTCTGAAAATCTCTTAAAAAAATTATTTACAAACAAAAATTAATATAAATATAAAATAAATTATTTTTAAAATGAATCATTTTTATTAATCTTTATTTATAAACAATATTCTAAAAGTTTTTAAATGTGATTTTCCCTGGATTTTAATTTGAAGTCATGGATAAGATAGCTCGTGGCGTTCTGTCACCTTCGGTACGTTGACACTCAGTGACACACGTATTTGGCACTATTTATATTGGGGAAAAATCAAAGGTGTGGCCCCGTAATTGGTCCCTGGTATTCATTTCCCTATAATAGTATAATTTAGAATTTTTCGTTCTCAGTCCCTGACTAACTTTGCCACCTTAAATCATAGGACTCAACCTGAAAGGCTGTCGTAATATGAGCATCATCGTATTCATTAATATGATGAGATTTAGAATATGTTGAATAACTCAATTTTAATATTTAAAAAATATTTTTTTATTTTTAAAATATAGAATGTTGTTTGAAAAAAAAAAAATAAAAAAAAATAAAAAAAATAAAAATGTATCCTAAAAAATTTTAAGAATGTTTTTGAAAGTGAATTTAAGAAGGTAACATGATAGAATTTTTAAAAAGTAAATTTAAAAAGTAGGATAGAATTTGACCATAATATCCTAAATATAATCTGTCATTCTTTTATTTAAAAAAATACTGTTAATTTAGGAAAAATATAAGATTATTTAAATAATAATAATTAGATATCAAATTTTTAGTATTATACATTGAAATAATTTAATGGTGTTAATTTTTAGCATTAACGGATATGCAACTATTTAGAAACTTTTTGTCCAATAAAGCAAAAGGTAGGGGTATACGGGGATCGGTAATATAGCAAATATTACAGTATTTAAAATTTTTGTCAATCAACAAAGATTTGCTCAGTTAGTTAAATTTTTTAATGAAAAAAATAGATCATATATATTTTTTAAATTATGTAATTTTCAACATTAATATATATTGAACTATTTATTATATGATTTTTTTCAACATATCAAACTTATATTTTTGATTTTTTTATTATTTAACATATTAAATTGTATATTATTTTAATTTTTTATATTTTTAAATATTTTTAATATATTATATTTGTATAATAAAAATTATAAATTATCATAAATCACCATTCCTTTTTATCATTGTATATTCAAGGCGCCTTGTAAAAGTATAAATTATCATTAATTAAAATAACTTTTAGTTTATCAAAAAAAATATTCAAATATAAATTTTGTTATAATAACTGATTTTTACTGAATTAATTTTTACTAAATGAACTTTAATAAATAAATTTTTGACAGATTGAAAACTAAATACACACTTAAATCATCAAAATTTTAATTTCGAAGGTCAAAATTTAAAGTATTATTCTATATTTTTATTTTTTATTTATTAAAATAAAAAAATTATTTTATTTTTCATTTATTTTTCATCAATTTGATTTAGATTTAATTTGAATGGTCTTAATTCTTATATATTGACTACATCTTTGTAAAAATCCAAATTTAATATTAATTTTTTATAATTTTATATTTTAATAAATATAATATTAAAAATTAAAATATACAAAACTAGCATTTTTCAAACATATTTCAAAAAAAAAAGTTAGATTTGAACTGTATAAAATATATCTCATAATTAATATGTAACAATTACAAAAATTTTGATATTAAATTGAACCCTTCAAATTAAATGTAAATCAAATTAATAATAAAAAATTATTAAAATTATTTTATAATATTTATAAATTTTTATTGTAATAAATATAAAATAAAAATGTATAATAACACTTTAAATTTGGATCATTTCAATTAAAATCTGGATAATTCATATCTCATTACATTAAAAAGCATGATAATATTAAGTTTTATTATATTCATCATGAAGGGAGAAAGATAATTTAATTTATTTTTATTTTAATTTTTTTAATTCATTCTATTTTCATCTCTTTTAACAAGCAAATGAGGTCTCAATTTCTTACTTGATCTCCAACATAACATAACAGCCACCAGCCACAATATCCTCATTTCACCACTCATCTCACTCTTACTTTAGTCACATATTTGGTTCTACAAAAGCGTATCAATTTCGAACCAGCTAAAGCTTTTGCTCAAACAATTCGGACTTTAAAAAATTAGGATCATGGGATGGCCCTAAACCCTCATCATTAATTCCAAGTTTTGTATAGTGCAAGATATGAGAAAAACAATGCCTTGGCCCATGGAACATAGACCTCAATGGATAACTTAGAATATTAAAACATTCATCATTTTACATTATATAAAAGAACTTTATACATCTCTAATTTTATTTATAAATCACTTTTAATATGTTTTACTAGTATTAAAAAAATCTTAAATTTATTAACTTTATATTAAAATTTAATAAGTTTTCAACTTTATCCCTATTAAATATACATATTTCAATAATATATTTCTCTTTCTAATATTTAATGGAGGGTAAAAGAGAAAATTTGTCATGAAAATTTAAAAACTGATGAAACCCTAAGTTGCTTTAGGCCATCAAATAAAACAAAAATGTAGTTATGAGCATTCTAGGTCATCTCCCAAGAGAGCAATGCACACAAATTATGGTTCAATTACCTACAAATTAAAAGAATGGTTATATGATTCTGCTATGTCTAATTGGCTAAGAATTATATGTTTATAATTTTCTGATTTGATTGTGTTGATGTAAATGAATGAGATGATGAGCTCAAGTTAGAATCCCCTATGATAATCCTTGAATTTCAGATTTGCAACCACACATATAATGATAATTAGCTTAATGAAGAACACTCTAAAACCTTTAAAGTGTTGTGAAACATTGCATCCAATGATCACTATAATTCTAAGCCAAGTGGAGTGAAATTAACAATGTAATTCAGCCTTGTTCTTAGCCATTTAATTCAAACCAAATTAAGTGGCAGAAAAACTTCTCAAACCAAATTCATATAAACACATATTGATCTAGCTTGAAATTTGAAGAAATCTAAACAAGAACATCAAGAACATATGAATGCATTTAAGAACACTCAATTGAATTCATAAATTCCAGAACTAAAACACAATATAAAATTTCAATCCAACATCTACAACTTCAATCTAACATGTAATTGGAATCAAAATCATAATCCAACCTAAACAATAATTTCGAATCCTTGAAAGAAAATAGAAGAAATTGCAGAATTGAAATTACATATTAAGAAGGCAAATCTGAAATATTCAAATCATAAGTTCATCTTCTTGAAGTTTAAAGGAGAATCAACCACTGATGCTCATCCTCTTCACTAAAATCAGAACTTGAGCTTGATAAGCTTCCATGGATGAATGAAGATGAAGAAGTTGCAATCTAGAAATCTAGAAAAGAGATGGACGAAAATGCAAGCTGGAATGGAGAAGAAAGTGGACAAAAATTTAAATAGAGAAGGAATGATGATTTGGACCAAGTGTTGATGATGGAAGATGAAGAAATGAAATCTAAAAATGAATAAACAGTGCTGGACGAAAATGAATGAAGAAGAAGAGAGAAAAATCTAGAAAAATCTGACAAGTGAAGGTAAATAATGAAGATGAAATGAAAAATGAAGGATTAAATACGTGTGGAAAATGTGAGTGGTGATAAAACCAAAGTGGATGGTGATAAAAACAAGGAAGGTCTAGATCTAAAATGAGCTGAAAAAATGGACGAAAATGAGGTAAAATGAGATGGAAAATGTGACAAGGGACATGTGAACATGTATGGGAAATGTGACTCCTCTTTAGGCTCCTAATCAGCTGCCACATGTCCTCCCATTGGATCTAATCATGTCACACCTCCCATGCCTCTTCTTCACTTGATGATGTGTCCCTCAATGCTTCCCATGCTCCTTTAATTTTTTATTTAATTAATTCTCCTCAATTAAATTTGAATAATAGTGCCACATCATCCCTCAAATAACTTTGGAATTTGCGCCCAACAGCCCCTAAATTTTTCATTTTTATTTATTTCCTATCTCTTGAATTTCTCCAAGTATGTGACTAGCCCTTGATCCTTGATGCCAAAATTTCCCTTACAAAATCTGAAAATAAAAACACAAGACTAAATAAATTCTAAAAAAATTAAAAAAAAAAGAAGAGAAAGGAATTAATGCTCAAAATTTTAAATTAGGTTATGAAAGTGTCAAAACAATTATCAAATAACACTATTAGGGTTCATAAAGTCAATATAAAAATGACAACTTAAAATTAAAAATTAAACCCTATTATACACAATTTGATGTCAAAAACCAAGTATTTTAACATGTAAAATATGGGATAGATCAACGATATAATTTATAAATAAGATCAAAAAAAAATTCTCTCTCTTTCCTATAAAATATAAATAGAACTAAGGGGAGGATTATCCTTGCAACTTAAACGTGCATGTCGCAAAAATGGGGAGATAAATAGCGAAGTTGTTGTGCAAGAGTGAAGGGGAAATCTTTTGCATGGTGGCCAAAATCCTTCATTTAACTTGCCGATGAGCTTAACCAGGATTCTAATTCCTTGTTCGTTCTTCTCACACTTATTGTCATTGATTGCATCTTGTGTCATACATTGATAGGTGAGTTGGGTGTTTTACCGACCTTTCTTTCTTCACCATTGATTATCTTTTATTTGCTTATTGGCTGGCCTTGCTATTCAAGTGTCTAATCCATCAACTATATAATCACATAATATAACCGAGGGAAGAGTAATATTTTGGTCCTTATTGTTTGATGTGATTGTCAATTTGATCCTTGTAGTAGTTTCAATTTTTTTAAATCACTCTTTATAGTTTTAATCGTTTGAAATGTTAGTCCTTAACTAATTAAATTATTACACAATTAAGCTAACAAAGTCCATATCAGCTTAAAAG